CCAAAATGGCTTGAAAATGTGCTATTAGTATACTGCAAAATATGTAAAAATGGGGCTTAAAATTTCTAGCCTTATGCTACTAGCCAGGCCTTGAACGTTACTTGTAGTGAATTTCTACTCGCCAGGGCTAAATCTTCACTCACCGAAGACAGTGGTGAATGGATATTTTTAATTTTTTTTTTATATTGCATTTTTTCGTGCCCATCAACTAGTACAATCATATCAAGACAGTCATAAGTACAAATATGTCAATTTACATGTCAAGGTTACATCCTGAAGAGGTACCATTGAAACAGGTTGGGGGTGGGGGGGAGAAACGCCCAGCAGTCATATATAGTAGGTCATGAGTCCATCCCGATGGTGTAGGAGTCTGAATGACAGTTGGTTGCATGGCCCACAACGTAGTTATAGTGGTGGGGTCTAGGTGCCTTACAAGCCTGGTGGTATACATAGTTTCAGGGCTGCAGTTCAATGCTGCTGCAGTCATGGGCACAGCTGTCGGATGTGTTGGCATCTGGGGGACTCAGGATGTGGTCCGCATTATAATACATTCTGAGTATCACCTTATATGTTCACGGTGTTGGAGTGATGGTGGCAAAGCACCTATGGCATATTGGATAAGTCGAGAACCGTTCTATGTTGTGCTCATTAGGGTTTGGGAGCTGTTTTGATATTAGTTTACCAGTTTGCCCAAGCACTCCTCCAAAACCTTATGGGGGTTAGCAAGCACCTTGCCATCGTTTCATATTGATTTGTTGTTTCAATTATGCACATGCATGTGGAGATGTTTGGCATATCAGTTTTGCGTCATAATGTACGAATAACAGAGAGGGCGCGATCAATCTGTGTTGTTTCTGGAATATTTCAAGGGTTTGGTGGAGGCTGATGCCATTGCATTGCTTAATCAGGTCTGCAACATCCCTCCAGTAATGTGATAGTAGTGCACAAGACCACCATATGTGTATCATACTTCCCCTGTTTGAGAGGCATTTCCAGCAGGAGTCTGAGAGGTTTGGTGATGTGTGTTTAAGGTGCAAGATTTTATGGGTTATTTCTATATGGGTAGTGCACATTGTCAATTGTTCATGTGCCCTTAGGCTTGTTTTCCATTGGAATTCATTACGTTTGTATGTCATGTCTTTTCCTCATGTGAGTGGAAATTTTGAGCCCTGTTCATAATATGAATATTTTTGTGCCACTTGGATCACAAATCAAATGACAGACTTTTTTTTTCTTTGCTTTTAGACCTGCCATAAGTGGCAGGGATGCTAAAAGAGAGCCTGCGGAGGACAGGGTAGTGGCAGTGGTCAGCACCTCCGGCAGGTGCAGTCTACGTTAATTGCTCACTTACAGTTCTATAGCTTACTAATGATCACTGAGTACCAGGACTGAAAGGGAGTGCTTATTGTGGTCTGTACTTGCCAAAGGTGCCAACCATACTCAACCACCAGCGACCATAGTTAGTGTGTTCTGGATGTGCTTAGGTTTCTGCAGGGAGGTGTGAAGGCAAAACTAAACACAACACACACACCACAGCCACACGCAATACACACATCCAACATACTACATCCACACACATTACACAAAGCCTAGATATACCACAGCCACACAAATACACATCTACACGCATTAGACAGCACACACACCACATTCATTACAGACAGCATGTACCACACACACAACATGTCCACATACAGTGGAGACGGCCAGCATACACCAGACATTCCATACAGCCACTAGACAAGCACATACAACATGGGAGGGGAAGACAGAGGGGAAAAAAACTATGGGGGTAGGTGTGAGACACTCAGGATTATTGACTAAACTCTAGCTTTTTGGCAAATTAAATCCAAACGGAAGAAAACAGAGGAAAAAAGTTATGACTAGAGCCAAGTTGCAGAACTCTCCAGATCAGCCTTTTTTTACCTCCGTTTTTCCATTTAGATGTAATGTGCAAAAACTCTAAGTTTATTTAATAACACTGTTAATGTTCAGGACTGAAGTTATTTACAGTATAAATAGATTATCATCATCACTGGTATTTATAAAGCGCCAACAGATTCCGCAGCACTGTACAATTAGTGGAGAACATACAATATACACAGACAAACACAAAAGGTAGAGAGGGCCCTGTGTGTAAGCTGATATCTAGCCATTTAAGCTCTTTTATACAAAGCGAATAGCTTGATAGCCCGTGAGCTTACAATCTAAAGGATACCGTGGGGATTTGAGACAAAAGGTAGCAGGGGAAATTTGGAAAATTATTATGATAGACAAGTAAATTGGACTATCACCCTAGTCCCTTGGACAAATAGATTTCCACATCCATGAGTATGCCAACCAATGAGAGGCTCGCAATGGTGTATAGGTGCCACCACATTCAAAAGCAAATCTGTGTGGCTTTATTTGTCTATACCAAAACGCACATTCCTTATCATGGTTCATAGAAATTTCAATTTAAATAGTAAACAAGAAAAAAAACAGTTGAATTATGACATTACTAGTAGTGGAGGGTGGGTTTAGGGTTGAGTTGCTTGAAAACTCCTTGATAAAAGCATGAGGGACTCACTCAAACTTTTTGCACCATAACTACTACAATATGTTGTAGTTGTTATGTTGCTTAAAATGTCAGTTTAACATGACCTATTAAAAAATATCGCATAGTATAGGCTATTTCTCAGAAGATGTATTCATTCTCATTGACAGACAGGTCATTCGTTAATATTCAAAATTTGTGATTTGTAGCTCAGTGAAAATTTAGAAAATTTGCAGGTTACACAGTTCTAGCAAACACCTGTACTGTCTGTCTCTGAGCATATTTCAGAAGTGATATCAACTTTGCATTACACCACAGTATTCTGCATCATCTTCTCCAGCTTAGAACCTGAGTTACCAAAAAAATACTTTCTAGTCACTGGATATGTTTTCTTCCATATAACGCTTTCTTGATGCTGAACCATGTATTATAGGAAGATAATGCTATTTAAGGATTCTGGAGACATCATAATAAACCACAATAGACTGGACTAAATAATTCCAACATGGCATTATCTTCTCTTAATACATATTTCACCACCACCAGTTGTGCATTTTTCAGACCATGTACCCAGTACCAATACATGGTTCCCAGTCACCACCTCCCTCTAAAAAGCCACTATCACTACATTTATCCATCGAGCCTAGCGCCTCTCTTCAGCAGCTCAGGAGTCATCACAGAGTGGCATGAAACTCAGAGGTACAGTGCGCCTGGCTGGAAGGAACCGACAAACTCTCTAGAGCTCCTAATAGTGTTGTAGAGTTACCGCTGTCTTGTAAAACTTTGTCGAGGGCGCTCATGGTCCCAGAGTCAACAAACAGGGGGCTATTTGAAGGGGTGGTATAGAAAGTGGTGAGGCATCAAACAATACCAAGGACTTGAGGGAGCTCCATCTACCAATAGAAATTTCCACCCAGTACTAGGGAACTTTGTACGGGATCAGAGAACGGTCACGCCCGGTCAAAATTTTACTTTTAGATAACTCGGACAAGACACCTCCAACCCATGCACTTTTTGGACAGAATGGGCGCTAAGGAGACAGCAGTCCTAGGATGGCATTTGTTTGATGATGTTGGCATGGGAACCCTGATTTTATTATAAAAAATTTAAATAGGTGCCAAGGTGTCTGGCCGCTAATAAAATTATCTGGTCGGGTACAGACACCTAGGTATTGTGTAACATCTATTGTTTTCCTGGTGGCCCCCTGCTTGGGTGAACACACTATAATATTTATATTCACTGCGGGAAAGTCCCTGGCAGCGACACTTACGTCCCCTGCGAGTATGCCGCAAGGAGGTAAAAGGGACATTAAGCAGGGACACATACAGACGTCTTTGACTAGACAGTTTTGCCAGCACAGAGCACGTGTGCACACTTTAAGCTGGGGAGAGGAGAGAGATTGAGTAGGGAAAAAACAACAACACTGGTATAGGGAGATGGGGAGGGCTGTACTGAATAAAAGAGGAAGGGAGGTGGGAAGACAAACGATTCCCCTTGCAGAAACTTAATACGTCTGTTGCCAGTACACTGACAACACACAGAAAATATCTACAGAAAAGACGTAAGGAAGCCCAAGCTCTAAGCTGCCTAAATCACGTTTACCAGGCGTATAACTAGCCCCCAGCACAAATGTAAATATAGCTCAATATGTGCAGCATTTCAAGACTCCTGCCACCATGACCACTTCTAAAAGCAGAAGATGTCATGGTGGTTGGAGTACCCTTTAATGGGAGGACTTCTTTATAAGGGTAGCACTAGGAGAGTCCCTGAGTGTATTGAAGTGATCCTTGTATTATTATTACCTGTTCATCCTTCCAATTTTAAGAATGAACACCTGATGTGAAAATAAATGGTATACACTTGGATTGTGCAGGAACCAGTCTATATATTATATGTGCATATATACACACAAAATATAAACATTTTATTTTTATTCTATGTACAATTCTATGGATGGATTTTAAGTATTCATTAAAGAGTAATCCTTACTACAGGCTGGGCAAACCTATTAGCAGAGAAGAAACAAACACTGTATCCCATAAACACCTTCTGAACATCTTATGCTATAAAAGCAGATCCCATAAACTAGACTAAAAGGCTCCTGACTGAGACCTCCTCCTGGTGAAACTTACCATTTTATAAATCCCACTGTAGATCAAACAGAACACCTCAATGTCCTTAGAAAACCATAAAAAAAGACAATATCTACAAGTGTAGGCAAGAGACCATAGACAGAGTAGCACAGTTTAAATTATCCATAAAGAAGATCATTAATGATTGCATTCACTAAATAGTAAGGAGTGTCAGGCACTTCACAGGTACTTGATCCCCTTGAAGATTTCCTCAATGTAACGTGGAATATATATATATATATATATATATATATATATATATATATATATATATATATATATATATATATATATATATATATATGTGTGTGTGGAAAAAGGACACGAAATATGTGGCAGTATATCAAAAGCTAAATAAACAATTTATTAGTAAAAACTTACAATCAGGACAATTCATGCAAGCCCATTAATAAGAACCAGAACACTGTCACTGGATATAAAGTGCTGGTGTGCAAAAGTTCCTACTGCTGAAAGTGCTATTGCAGGCAGTCTAAGGACTGTGCTGCTCTATGTATGGTTTCTTTCCTACACTTGTAGATATTTTGTCTTTGTTGTGATAGAAGGATTTGTCTGAAAGAACATAGAAGATAGGCATTTCATTTTCATTTTTTAATGCACAATTTACATTAAACAGTGCTGGCCATTTTACTCCATTCATTGCTTTAAAATTGTATTTTTAATAATGATCTAAAACTTCAATTTGTTTGGTAAATATGCCAATGACTTTAACAGTGTGAAGAAAATGAGAATAGGGTTGGTTGTAACAATGTTTATTAAATTAAGTGTAATAATTTGTAGGCAGATTCCACGTGAACATTTTCTCCTAGCTTGAGCCAAAGAAACTGCATCTTATAGAATTACAGTGACCTTTTTAGAAACTGGAAGGAGTAATCTGGAATAAAGTTCTCCCCAGGTTCAATACAGTGCTACAGAATATAGCCAATTTAATTTGCATAATCTCTCTTTTTAGTAATGGTCATGCTTGATCCCATGAAGAGCACATTCATTTGTTTACTGCTTGCCTTGTAAAACGGAGGTCAGTTCTCCACTTTCTTTTAACTCCTATAGAAACAAACATAAAATTTTAGCATTAGTAAAAGGGAAGAGAAAAATCAATAGGGAAGAGAAGTAAACTTAAAATAAATGGACACAAAGTGCATAGTTTTGATCACCATTCAAATGATTGTAAAAAAAATTATCTATATAGATATATATATTTATATTATTTTTTTTGCCTGAAGTTATTGCCTGAATTCTGCACATAACCGAGGACTAGTTTGCACTTGTAAAAGAATCCTGACAGGCTGATGAGCGATAATGCAATAACATGTTCACTGTTCAGCTGACAGTTACAAGTTTTATTTGACAATTTTGTATTTTTTGCCAATAAGCACTGGGCACAGGTTCCTGGAGTGCAGGTTTTTGTTTTGTAATATTATACACACGCACATAGTCTACTTAAGCTGTTTATCCTTTTGCCTAAACTACGGACACAAGTGTAGACACACAGAAGCAGGGCATACATGGAAATTAGTGAAAAGAATTGTCGCTATCTTTATTAAAAAAGCATACAGCAAAATTACGTACCATGGATTAATGTTTTTTTAGTCCATAATAAAAGTCATAATTAGGGACTGAAACGATCCATTGTATGCAATTTTGTTCCATGCTGTTGCAATAAAGACGGTGAAAATTCCTTGCACTACGTCCTACGTGGGCTCTCCTTCTGTTCGTGTATGTATGTCTGTAGATTATATAGACACACACATACATCCACACTTTTTATTTTTATTTTTTTTCCCACAGATAGGAACAGTGCAGCAGACGTACAAACCTACTGTGTCACATTAATTTATGGCACATAGGCATTACTAGTAGTAATGGCATTTATGCTGTACAGATCTGCAGAGTAGTCCATATTTGAATGATGATGCTTCATTTTGTTTGTTTTTTCATCTATCAATTCAGTTCCTCGTCAATTAAATAAAGTGAATAACTTTATAGGTACAGGGAGTCAAAATTATTCCTGTATCTAGATAGTAATCCAACTGGGGCCCCAATATTAACTATACTTAGAGGGTTATCTGCCAACGCCTCAAAAGGGTACCTACAGTGAGGGGGGAAAGTATTTGATCCCCTGCTGATTTTGAATGTTTGCCTACTGACAAAGAAATGATCAGTCTATAATGGTATGTGTATTTTAACAGTGAGAGACAGAACAAACAAAAAATCCAGAAAAATGCATGTCAAAAAAGTTATAAATTAATTTGCATGTCGATGAGTGAAATAATTATTTCATCCCCTATCAATCAGCAAGATTTCTGGCTCCTAGGTGTCTTCTATGCAGGTTACGAGTTGAAATTAGGAGCACTCTCTTAAAGGGAGTGCTCCTAATCTCAGCTTGTTGCCTGTATAAAAGACACCTGTCCACAGAAGCAATCAATCAGATTCCAAACACTTCACCATGGCCAAGACCAAAGAGCTGTCCAAGGATGTCAGGGACAAGATTGTAGACCTACACAAGACTGGAATGGGCTTAAAGACCATGACCAAGTAGCTTGGTGAGAAGGTGACAACATTCGCAAATGAAAGAAACACAAAATAACTCAGTATCCCTGTCTGGTGCTCACATCATGGAGTTTCAATGATCATGAGAACAGGGAGGAATCAGCCCAGAACTACACGGGAGTTGATAATCTCAAGGCAGCAGGGACCATAGTCACCAAGAAAAGAATTGGTAACACACTATGCCGTGAAGGACTGAAATCCTGCAGCTCCTGCAAGGTTCCCCACTGCTCAAGAAAGCACATGTACAGGCCCATGAAGTTTGCCAATGAACATCTGAATGAGTCAGAGGAGAACTGGGTGAAAGTGTTGTGGTCAGATGAGACCATAATCGAGGAGGAATGCTGCCTATGACCACAAGAACACCATCCCCACTGTCAAACATGGAGGTGGAAACATTATGCTTTGTTGGTGTTTTTCTGCTAAGGGGACAGGACAGCTGCATTGCATCAAAGGGACGATGGATGGGGCCATGTACGGTCAAATCTTAGGTAAGAACCTCCTTCCCTCAGCCAGGGCATTGAAAGCGGTCGTGGATGGGTATTCCAGCACGACAATGACCCAAAACACACAGCCAAGGCAACAAAGGAGTGCCTCAAGAAGAAGCACATTAAGGTCTTGGAGTGGCCTAGCCAGTCTCCAGACCTTAATCCCATAGAAAATCTGTGGACGGAGCTGAAGGTTCGAGTTGCCAAACATCAAGCTTCGAAACCTTAATGACTTGGAGATGATCTGCAAAGAGGAGTGGGACAAAATCCCTCCTGAGATGTGTGCAAACCTGGTGGCCAACTACAAGAAATGTCTGACCTCTTTGATTGCCAACAAGGGTTTTGCCACCAAGTACTAAGTCAAAGGGGTCAAATACTTATTTCACTCATTGAGATGCAAATCAATTTATAACGTTTTTGACATGCGTTTTTCTGGATTTTGGTTTTTGGTTATTCTGTCTCTCACTGTAAAAATACACTTACCATTAAAATTATAGACTGATCATTTCTTTGTCAGTGGGCAAATGTTCAAAATCAACAGGAGATCAAATACTTTTGTTCCTCACTGTATGAGAGATCATGCATGGAATTTCATTTTAGGACTGTGCATATGGATCGGACAAGACTGGGGTACAATAAAAATGGCACAATAAAAACAAAACTTGTTTGAGAGTTCATAACTTCCATAAGCCAAAGTGCTAATGGGGCCTAAAGTGTTCCAGTGAAGAAGACAGAACTAGTCTCCAACAAGTTACATTTTGGAAAATTCTTGAGCCCATTCAATATAAAAATTAAGCTTTTAGTATAAAGAACAGTCTTTTTAGGATTAATCTCAGATTAATGCATGATAATATAATTTAGTAAATTTGTATACAGCTTGTTCTGGTTAAAGTCATTATTGAGTTGGAAACCCATTAAGCACACTGTGACAGCATTAACTTTTGAGTTTCAGCAACCGTAAAGTTAAATGTCTCTGTAGGAACTTATTAAATGGTGACAGGAAATGACTTCTGGTTTCAAGGTTCTAGGGAATCTCTCTAAATGTTGAAAAATATACATGGATTGCTGACAAATGATGTGTTTGCAATGATAATCCATTAAGTAAAAACTAGAATATTTAACTTTGTCAACTCATATTAAACCGTTAAATGCTTGAAGTTCCAGCTTCAAAGATTTAACCCATACATCAAAAAGGACACACACACTACTGAAATTAAGAGCCCATGGGTTAATTGTGAAAAAGTTCCAACACTCTATACAATCTTAAGGAACATTAAAATGAACTGAATTATTTTAGTTATCCAACTACAATTTGTTTTATTTAAAGGGATACTCTCACCAGAGTCACTATTGAGTGCTCAAGCAAATTTGGTTAAATTAATTCTGTGTTTTTTGGTGATCTCTCTTTTTCCACTTGCTTAAAACAAAGAATAGACTAAAATGTATGCCCCGTCAGTTGCAGTATACAATAGTTTACTTGCTTTATTTAAGGGAACTATAGGCTAGGATAGGCTAGGAATACAAAATTATATTCCTTGCCTATAATGCCCCCCTCACCTCCCAGCAGTGATGAAAGGGTTAAAAACTATTTACTTACCTGAATCCAGCGCCGTTGTCCACCGTCGCTCCTCCTGCCCTGACCTAATGTGCATGCACAGCGAGTGTCGTGGTTGCATCAGGACAACCCTATGGGAAACGACTGAATCAATGCTTTCCTATGGGACAGTCACTAGAGGTGGAGTTAAGCCTGCAAGGTAATTATTGCAGTTTCTCAATAACTGCAATAATTACCATTGCAGGTAAAACGGACAGGAAGATTGCACCCAGACCGTTTCAATGAGCTGAAGAGGTCTGGATGGCTTTAGTGTACCTTTAACACATCTGACTTCTGTTATTGTAAGATTCCAGGGTAAAACAAATCATGTTTTTAATCATTCTTTTTTTCTTACTTCCAGAACAGGAGGTGAGGAGAAAAAACAAACAGTCAGCGCTCTCTACTGGTTATAGGGACCTCAATGCACCACTAGCAGCTAATACAGCCAGCAGACCCATTTCTTATAGGGCTTATTTTGGAAATGAGTTCCCAAGTCAGTTTGCAAAAAGATGGAGATGAAAAGCATAGTGTTTAATTTATACATAGCAACTGTCATATCACCATGTCTGTAGATAAAATGTATTACCCACTGAAAGTGCACCTGGTAATTCATATAAAAGAAGAAGGGAATATTACCTTAACAATATCCAAACCTCCAATAAGCTCTCCATTTACATATAGCTGAGGATATGTTGGCCAGTTTGAAAAAGTTTTTAATCCCTGTCGCACCTGGAAAGAAAAAAAATATATATATATCTGCCGTCTCAAAAATATCTATTAAATTACCAAGGAATGAAGCACTGATCCAATAAATGTTTATTTTAATCATAAAGTACACCAAGAAAAAAATAGATTTTTAAACAAAATAATTTTTCAAGCCATGAACAAACTATATTTATGGTTAGAAATTGTGTTTTCTGTCCCTTCAAACTTACCTTTCTTCTATTTTTATTCTGCTCGTACTCTGAAAATCTGTTTTGTTTTTCTTCTAATCTATTTTGCTTTAAAGCAGAAGACAAAGTAGGGACTACTTTGCTGTATGTATTTTCCTATGTTTGTTAAATCTTGACAAAAGGGTGGAGCTTACCTTATGCTTTAAAAAGACATCAAAATGAAGTTATGGTGCCAAGAGGTCCCTAGTGCTGGCTCACCTTAAAGGGTTAAACCATACTCAAACAGTTTAACCACAGAGTCTGTGTTCGAGCACCAAACCTCCCTGCCTCTCTGACTTACCATTTTCTCAAAATCCTTAAACCAAATTGTTCTTGCAGGATCAGATAGCAGAGCCTCTGATTGGCTGAGAGTGGTCAACTGACGCTCTCAGTTAATCAGTGACTCCCCATTTATAAAACTGGCTTGAAAAAGGTACGTACCGTTTCAAGCTAATTATGAATAGGGGGTGACTGATGTGTCAGCTGACCACTGCCCGATTCCGCAAAAGCCTCCCATTTTAAAGATTTTAAGAAAAAGAAAGAACAGAGAAGCAGAGAGATTCAGCGCTGAGACACAGACTTTGGGGTCAAACCATTCAAAACCTTAAGGTGAGCCAGGGACCTCCTGACACTATAACAACTTCATTTCTAGAATGTTTTTTAAGCTCCACACTTTGTCAAGATTTGTCTTATGTTTAAAAAAAAAAATAGATAAAAAATGAAGGAGAAGAAGAGATTCTGAAAGATGAAGAGGAAACAATAGGAGAAAGGTGAATTTGAGGTGACAGAGCTACTTTAATGTTTTGGGTTTTTTTCTTCAACCAGGACTGAAAATATCAAAGTCTAAAAAGATTAATCTGCTCACCAGCACAGTGGATGCTGTACACATCCATCTCTAAAACACAGAAGTAAAAGCAAAAATAACTTTTAAGTTTCCTTCATCTTATCATCAAAAAAAATCTTTATACCACCAAACCAACTTATAGAAACCTCAATTCTTACAATTTGTTATGATGTATGTTTGTATATTTTAGCAGAAATTGACTCCTAATTTTCGACACCTACACTCGATTGTGTTTTGAGTGTAATGTTATGTTGTATACTGTGCCAAAGACCCTACATCAGAATTATGATGTTAAATAAACAGGGTGTTCCGTTTTTGGCATAGTTCCTTGTAGGCCAGTTTTTGACGACAGCATGCTGGTTCATAAGGGATGAAGAAAAATGTAGCAAAGAAAAAGAAGTTAAATGATCAGTCATGCTGATGTTTCTCATATGAAAAAGAACACATTCCAGTATTACGTGAATACTATGGGATTTCTTTTTGTTAAAGGACCACTATAGTGCCAGGAAAACATACTCGTTTTCCTGGCACTATAGAGCCCTGAGGGTGCCCCCACCCTCACGGTCCCTCACCCGCCAGGCTCTAGGGTGAGGAAGGGGTTAAACTTACCTCTTTCTCCAGCGCCAGGCGGGGAGCTCTCCTCCTCCTCTCCGCCTGAATGCGCATGCGCTGCAAGAGCTGCGCGCGCAGCCAGTTTCATAGGAAAGCATTCACAATGCTTTCCTATGGACACTGGCGTCTTCTCACTGTGAAAAGCACGCAAGCGCCTCTACCGGCTGTCAATGAGACAGCCACTAGTGGGTGGATTAACCCTGAAGTGGTCTGGGTGCCTATAGTGGTCCTTTAAGCATTTTAGAGAAAAGCTGCAGGCAAAGACTAGAATTAATTTTTTTCCGGTGTTAGTGACCATAAAACAATGTGAATAATGCAAATATAAATATAGTGCAAATATTCTGAGATAATAGAAGTGAAACTAATCAAGTCCTATTACTTATATTTTTATGTAGACAAACAATATTCTTCACGTAAATTCATCCTTGTATTCCATTTTTTATTGTTTGATTATACATAAAAAAAATAATAATTTCACTTTCTCTTTAAATGTTCAATTGCATTTTGTCACTTACTTCTTCATCTTCCAGTATATCAAATGTTGCAAAATCAACTCTAAAAAGGAAAAATAAAAAATATTTCCATACCACAATTAATTTAACGCAAATAATGCAATATTGCAAATGAGCAAATATAGTATTTAAAGGATCTGCCGTCCTGTTTATGATAACTTTTGTTAAAACAAAAACAGAATTTATGGAAGAAATGATTAATATACACATGAGTAATACAAAAAAAAATTATTTCTTCATTGCTCTGCCACTAAGAATGCCTGAATGCATTCAGATAACGGTTACAATCTTTTACAAAATACGTAACCTGGCAGAAGTGGAACTTTAATTGAATATTCTGTTTTCTGATATAGTTGAGCTCTAAACATGCCCATTGTAAGAAATGAAAACTGTAAAAGCAGAATAAATAGCTAGCCTACAAACTAAATGAAAAATAACTTCAAACGACAAAAAATGACATTTTATCAATACACATAGCACATTGAGTATTTACAGCTAACATGAACAGTGTATCAATTACGTTACCCAAATGACTGCCACAAATGTGACTTTGCAGCAATGTACTTACCCAGTGTTGTTCATTACTTCTAGAATCTGCCTGCTAAACCCACATTTTGCAATCTAAAATAAATAAATAATGGATGAAGAAAAGAACAATGAGACATGGATTTTCATACATCAGTTACTCTCAGTATTATTTTGTCCAATCTTTACAATGGGAAAGGTTTAAAACTTTCTAAAATCTAAAACAAAATCTGAAAGCACGTAGGATAGATCAAACATACCTGCTTGCTTCCCTTCATGAACAGCATTACAGGTGCTTTATTTAACAATGACTTGAGTCTAAACAAAAAGATTAGAAAAATGTTTTTCATGTAAATTTTTGCCACAAATAGGTAGCAGCACTAAAGCAACTTAGAGCTATGTTGCAACACGGCATGATTTGTTTTTGTTTCCTACTTATAAAGTTTGGCCAGTAATGTTTTTATTTGTCCAACATTGACAACTTTTTTTAAATAAAAGTAATAAAGTTCTAATTATACTACACAAATGTTATGTCACACACAAAACCACAAATACTGAGGAAAGAGGGGTGGGCTTGTAATAGCTGCAGATACTAGATGTGCTGCTATTGCAAGCCAAAAATTAAATACCTGCAAAAAAAACATGCAAACGTAATCGCATGCATGTTTTATTTAGGGGTAGATCCACTAAAATGTTTAAAAGTTTTTCCCCCTTATGGAATGTTCTTTTAAGTGTACATATTCACACACACAGACATATTTATGAGTAAAAAGTATAGATATAGTCAAAATAACCTCCCCTCTCTCGAAGGGTCGCTGGGAAATCATACATGCTGTATATAACCACTATGTCCTCAAACACTAGGAGGGGGACTTATCAAAGTGACATGGTCTGAAAATGGTACAAAGTAATAAAAATGAAACCGACCAGCATGAATATTCCACTTTTACATCTTTGCATTGCTTTTCAGAACACAACAGTTTGATAAATAAAATCTCTCTCTACGACTAGAGTTTGTGATTGGAGAGGGAACAGAATTTAAATTTATGCCAACATTAGGATTCTATAAAAGAAATAATCTGAGCACACACAAATAGTGTTCAGACAGACTTTAGTCAGATCAAAGAATGAGACAACGTTTTGGCTTCATCGAACCTTCATCAGTTCAAGCTTGAACACGATTCCTGTGTGTCCCCGGACAATATCTTGATTATCGAAGTGCTGCTACTCTGCTCTGTGCAAGCACCTCTGAGATTGTGTACTTTAGTGGATCTAATTCAGATTCTAGTCACATGCCCGCACATCAAAGAGCTGCAATGATTTTACAAGTGAATAACTGGAATCAGTTCTAAATCAGTTGCTGTCTTAACAGGCATAAAGAGCAAACAAGTTATGCTGAAAACCTTTGCACAGATCTCAAGCACATTGAGGACTATATATAAAAAGTGTCGTGTTCATGTTTTACATTATTTATGCCAGAATACTTCTTATGCCTATTCCATCATTTTATTTTCCAGTTTAATACATTCCGTACGAACTTGAATGAGGAAAAAAGCGGCAGGAAGACCGATTATTTTAGTACATGTAAGTTTGCAATGTATAAAAAGGTGGAGTAATAGATTTATACAAAAGAAAAGAAAAGTAAAAAAGCGGACAGCACTGTCTCCAAAGGTGTTTGCTTTAGTGCAGTAATGACCAACACTGGAATGCCAGATGTTTGTGAAGTATATATCCCGGTCAGCCTATAATCCCCCTAAGCATCATGGGAAATGCAGTTTAAAAGAATTAGAGTGGCGGGTGTAGTTTAACCATAACTGCATTAGTAAATTTAGTTTCCCACTTTTCATTAATTAAGAATGCAGTTTAGGTAAACACTGTACACAAATGTATAATGAATAATAAAAACAAAATGTTAGTTGCATAAAGACCTAAAAAGAGACCAAAAAAAAACTATTGAGAGACATTTTTAAACTGATCCATACCTTTCCTCTAAGGATTGGACCTTTGGGCAGGTTGTGTCTAACTCCCCGGATGCCTCAAGCTCCTGTAAGTGAGAACATTTGTTAAACAACATGGATGTGTTCCTTTGAGATATCCTCATCATTGCCGCTGCAATTAGAATTCATTGCCTCTCCGCTCACCTTTACAATGTCCAGTCCTCCAATTAGCTCACCGTTGACATACAATTGAGGATACGTGGGCCAGTTGGAAAATGTTTTAAGACTCTGACGTACTTCTTCATCAGAAAGTATATCAAAAGTGCTAAATTGGATCTTGCGATTGTTCAGGATCGCCACAATTTGTTTGCTGAAGCCTACAAAACAAACCCATTAATACATCAAGACCAATTTCTGTACAACAATAATGGAAAACCTTTGGCAATGAAGCACTTAAGGATTACTTTTCAATTATGTTTATCCGGTTATTCAAGCGTGGTGGGCAGCACAGTTCATAACCGCTACTGCTATATATGCTTACAAAGGTTATTTACTGAAATTAGAATTTCCAAAAATGAATTTAGAAATTTAGGTCAATATAGCCATATTAAATAAATTCTCAAAGCCAAGTTTTTATTTTGGTTATTTTGGCCTTTAACCCCTTCAGGACCAAACTTCTGGAATAAAAGGGAATCATGACATGTCACACGTCATGTGTCCTTAAGGGGTTAATTTGAAATTCACTTTGAGTTTCCTGCTTTTCTCACGTCAGTGAATAACCCTGTTTATATTTATACTTATCACATGATATAAACAATCGATGCCCTTCAGGTGTGGGATGAGTGGTTTGAGAAAATATAGAGCACGTCAATTTCCAGAAGTGTCCAGAACTAAGGCAGCACATTTACTTTTCTTTTTCCTCATAACAAAAGAATCTTTCTAAAATACTTGAAACACTGGAAGTGTACGATATGCAATCTTATCTCCGGAGTATTCTGCGGACAGGCATTACCTTACGGAAGATCCCAAGGACTTGAGGGATCTTATAGATTCCTTTTTTGTTATCTTACATGTACGAGAATGCATCAGTGATGAGCACATAAAGCTGCCAGAGGGTGAAGATGGAGACAAAGAACATCTGAGTAGACAGAGTTTTAGGTAAGTATTAACCTTTTCTCTCACTCACCCCCTCCCCTTGGATGCAAATCAGAATATCCAACTAAGAATTCTAACTGAGAAATATACAGTAAATACTATATCCAAATAGGAAGGTTTGAAAACATTTACATAATATAAAAATATGGACATCTCTTTTATACAGGATTTTAAAGTATGTACATCTCTTTAGAGTATTTTTTTCACCTAAAAGAGAAGTATACAAGTGTCTAAAATTGTGTTATATGTAGAAACATAGAATGTGACGGCAGATAAGAACCATTCGGCCCATCTAGTCTGCCCAATTTTCTAAATACTTTCATTAGTCCCTAGCCTTATCTTATAGTTAAGGATAGCCTTATGCCTATCCCACGCATGCTTAAACTCCTTTACTGTGTTAACCTCTACCACTTCAGCTGGAAGGCTATTCCATGCATCCACTACCCTCTCAGTAAAGTAATACTTCCTGATATTATTTTTAAACCTTTGCCCCTCTAATTTAAGACTATGTCCTCTTGTGGTAGTTTTTCTTCTTTTAAATATAATTTCCTCCTTTACTGTGTTGATTCCCTTTATGTATTTAAATGTTTCTGTCATATCCCCACTGTCTCGTCTTTCCTCCAAGCTACATGTTAAGATCCTTTAACCTTTCGTAAGTTTTACCCTGGAATCTCTCCAAAATATCATTATCCTTCTGGAGATACGGTCTCCAGTACTGCGTACAGCACTCCAAGTGAGATCTCACCAATGCGCTGTACAACAGCATGAGCACCATCCTCCTTCTACAGCTAATACCTCTCCCTATACAATGTATATCAATAGGTAATGAAGAAAAATGGGTACTCATATAATTGGTACTATTTTAGATTTAATGCTAACTACATAAAACACTGGCAAGCCACTGGCTAAAGAGTTTAGTAGCTAATGAAGATTGATGTGCACACTTAAGTTACCAGAAATTAAAATAAGAATGTACGCCACCAGCTTTAACACGTGCAACATTTTGTCACACACATTCATTCTGTACACCACAGTATACATGGTGTGCTTGTGGACCGTTTTCAAAAGCACTCCTACACCTGGTTATTCTCTCTCTAATCTGTCATCTACCAGGGGAAATTGGAATACGAATTTTACAGTGTTTGGTTTGCATTATTCCTTGCGTCACCCAGCAATGCTATATTTCCTATTTAAACAGAATATACATGAAAAGTGCTTCTAGCTAAATTAATATGAAACCATGTGAAGCAAATTTGTTATGTCTATAACTATTATACTAACCTTTCATTCAAAAAAATAAATAAAAGGCTCCTTTGTTCAAGCAGAACAATATTTAGAACCTACAGTATGTGGATAGCCCTCACCTGACCTCCATTCACATGTGTATCTGAAATATGGTTTTCCCTTAAAGCAAAGTGGTGAAGGGTCCATGATCTGCATCCAATCAAGGTGTGAGAAGTAAGCAAGTTTATTTATTTTATGCTGTAACTGAAGTGTTAAGTTCATGTACAGCCTGGAGTAAAACACAGAATCTGAAATGTCTCATTCTTCTGGGAGTTCATTAGTAAATGGCTGAAGGCTGATTGCTTTTGGTTATTCTGTTTCCAATACATTCAATCATTTTTACTGGACTTGCCCCACCAGAAAGCTTTGTATGAGCTCCAGGCAACAGGATGAAGACCAGAAAGATTGATAACTTGGATTTCATTTTTAAGGGTTAATGTGGCAGGGCATATATTTTATGCTTTGGGACTGCAAATAAAACAACAACAAACAGAAGCACTGTTCTGACTCTGCAAAATGCAAAAATAATACCACATAAAGTGTAATGTTATTTCCTCCTCAAAAATGTGTACTTTCACAGGCTGAAATATGTACATCACCTTTGAACACATCCAAAACAAAATTCAATATTTATGTAAAAGAAGAAGAAAAAAAATTAAAGGAAAAAACAGTAGAGGAATAACTCGTGTTAGTAGATACATTGTAGTTGAAGAAGAGGAAAAAAAAAAAACCTCACACAAAACATGGTCATTTTGATTTAGAGGCAAGCTCGCATGAAATAGGTAAATAAAGTGTTAAGTTCTACATTTGTATCATCTAGGACAGTTGTTTTCATGCAGCATTTAAAAATCCCTATAGCATGTGTCCAGGGAATAATGTTCTAGCACTAACTCCAACATGAGTATGAAACCAAACAGGTGTCCTAAAAATGTAATGTCTGCAATTCCACCTAGTTAGAGGCTTACAGATTTTTGTAATAATTTGGCATTTTTACTGTACAATGCAATGCAAATAACAGAAATCCGAGAGTGTGTATACTGTGCTTACAGATAATGTTTTGTTGTTGGTAAAAAAGAAGCCAGTTGTACAATGCTGATATTAACATATTAGGGATAGACTGATCACCGGTTTATAACAGATTTTGGAAAATATTGGCATTGGCAACTATTGGTACTGATAGTGCCGATAATATGAGAGGCAGCAGTGGCCCAGCACACGCAGGGCCAGCACGTCCTTAATGCGGCCGCCTTAAGGCGCACCGGCCCGGGGGGGGAGGGAGCAACAATCGAGTGACCGGCAGGAAGGAAGCGCACAGTGCTCCCCATACCAATCACTCAGTGTAGCATGGCCAAGCAGAGCGGACCGCAGTACAGGGCTTTAGTTTCCTGTACCCGGCCAAACTGACAGGAAGTGCTGACAGAGAGCATTTCCTGTCAGTGCGGCCGGATACAGGAAAACAAAAGCTCCTGTACCGCAATCTGCACAGCTAAGCCACGCTACAAGAAAGGTAATGAAGCACACCAGGGAGGGGAAAGGACCACTAAGATGGGGGGGGGGACACTTTAGTGCAGGCAGGGAGAAAAACACTAAGAGGGAGCAGGGGGTAAATGTACAGAATATCGGTATCTGTAGGTTATCAGCTATCGGCCTGAAAATTCACATATTATCGGGCTCTCAAAAAATTATATTGGTCGATCCCCAAAACATACATACATACATACATATATATATATATAAAAAAACACACAATGATAAAAGACAGTAAACACTGAATTATGGGAAATTAATGTCACTGAGGGCTCGTGGAGAGAGAGGAAAAAAAACATACAAAAAAAAATAGACGACCAATGTGCTGCCTGAGATTAATGGGTTTTTAGTTGAAGTCGATTGCAGCAGGTGCCGATCACAATTGTGACTCTCCCTAATCTCAGACGAACTGAGACATGTGTCCCAGTTCTGCCTAAGATTTAGGCCTCCAGATTTCGAAGGTGATCCATGCATTGTTTTCCATACATTATAGGGAGCAATTGCTTGGAAGACATCAACCTCTATGTAGAGACTCTAAAACATGAACTGTCCACTGAAATGGCAGGCAGAAATATATAGGCTAAATATATAGATACACTGACTCACACATCCCTTTCAATTAATTGCTTAGAAGTGCTCCATTTGACATTTGATTAGTTTCGGGATGGAGCATGAAGAAAAGCTGCAGTGCTTGCCATACTTGACCGTAGTGTTAATGAGCAAAAAAAGCAGATGGAGTTAAAATGATTTCTACTACTTTGTTATGTTATCAGCAACATAAGAAAATTAACAGCATCAGTGGAAAAACTGGTGCAAAATGAAATTGAGAAAATCCGAGTCAAATTATTTAAAAAAAAAAAGTAGTAGAAATTGACTAGGCCAAAGGTAGTGGTTATTCTTGAATATACCACCCTCCTAGTGGTCAGTCACACCTTTAAATGACACTCCAGTGGTGTCAAGGGGCATAACCCCAAAATGGAAGTACTAGAAAATGACTTTCCTGTTACTGGTCACTAAAACCAGAACCAGGACTGTCAGCTGGACAAAATATTAGTAGATAATAGATAATTAAATCAAAATTGCCATCAATATGTCGGAATATAGAGAGGGTTCATACGTAGATTCAAGTGATTAAAATAGCCTAAATGGCTCTTCTCCTGTCTAAAGGACTCTTAGACGTAAAGAATCTATTTGAGACTCAGGACTTTAATATAATCAACCATAGTATGTCCATGTCAACAGTAAAAGCGGTTGTGGAATGAGCCTTTAAATTAACTCCTGTAATCTAGATGGAAAAGACAATCAGTCAAGGAGGAACTTTGAATATTGGCTGTATATAAAGTAACACTTGTAGCAAAGCCCGCTGTATCAGAAAAGCTACAATAAGAGTGTAGTTAAGCAATCAGCAATTTAGGATAACAGCATTTAGCTGGATACCAAGTAACATATAATAAAAGGAAAAAAGTCTACATGAAAATTCGTAGATTAATCACAAAATATGTCATAAATGATAAATCTTAAGTTAGTGGTTTCCTAAATCGCTATGGGGTACAAAGAGTATCTGTTGCCCCCTCAAATACATACAGAGCCAGTCCAGATTCCTCAATCAAATAGATAATTCCAATCTAGATAGCATATCAGGAGTGACAGGAGGAAAAGGTGAAAAATTAGGAAATAATAGTGCTAATGTGTAGAACCATGCTTAGAGTGCTGGTTACCTACACATCGTGAAATAGTGCCCTAGAAGTGAAAATAAAAAGTGAGTGAAAGTGAAGGAGAAAAACCTCCTTCAACCCGACGCGCGTTTCGGTGCTGTGATGCACCTTCGTCAGGGGCTGAATTTGTTATGGACCCTAGACCTTGTTTAAATACCCCTGGTATTGTAACTGTTGAGAGGATTCCACCAATCAGGGTTCCTGTGTGGACCGTCAGTTGGCGCCAAAATGACGTCAGAATATGCTAATTCGCTGTTTAAAAAAAGAAAAAAAAAAAAAAAAAGAAAGAAAACTCCAAACAGGGTTAAGTCCACCTCTACATTGTGTGGTTTATATTTAACCCTGTATGTACTCATTGGATGGAGTGACTTGCTTCATAGAATAGGGAAAGGACGAAGGTGAATATATCTGTGTAAATTTTATAGTCAGAGACGAATGATTCATCAAGAAATTTATATCATGTAAAGTCAGTGTATTGCTATCACAAGGCATTGTTTGAGAAGTAGACGGTTCATCATGGGTTATCTGGACGCCTGTGGGATCATGAGAATGGGTAGAGAGGCTTTGAGCGAAAAACCTCAAAAAAGTGAAAATAAGGGATTTTAACCCTCGCTCAGCCATGGGGACCTAATACCTATCCCAGGATATCATAAGGATTATATAAATATGGGCGGTCAGGTTAACTGTACTTCCTATTAGGGTAATGATCATTTCATTATCAAGCCTCATTCTCGATTTACGGGCGGAATTAACCCCCGCTATACTGTTCTTAGCAGTCATGTGAAAATAGTAATAGCTGAGCTTATACCCAAAATTCCCATGTGCGGGTATTATCAATGGCTTGATGATCGTAAATAAATTGCCAGATACTCATGTACCAGTGTGTCTACATAAATACTAGGTAATAAATGCCTCTGATATACATAATCAAATATTGAGGCTTTTTATAATACAGATAAATTCATCAGTTCTTATTCTTACTAAATGGAGATTAGTATTTCGGTAATCGAAATTTGTCCAGCCATTCCCATTGGCAGTATCAATTCAATTTGTCAATTTAGATGGCTGGTACGTTGTGCTAGTCCATATATCCAAATAGCGTGTATAGTATTATAAATAGGAGATGGGGGGAAAAGTAGCATACGATATATTAAATTTTAAGTAATTTATATAACTTTTAATGGATCATGTGTCATCATGGGATCAGAGTGATCGGTCATGTGTAAATCTTACTGGACATAATTTACTCAAATGAGTGAGTTATATAGTATAATTAAAGTGTATCCAGAAGATACCCACTAGACAGGCTATAATAATGAGGGCTGTATACCTTCTTTGAGCCACTAGGGGTCAGTCACAGACATACCAGGGGTAAATTTCCATATTGAATGTATCTAAGTAGTATTTACTCTTTTGATGGATTAATTTCCAATTATTAAATAGTAAATTAATGAAGTGTTGCTAGGGAAGAACCGGTATTTAATCAGGGATAAAGGGAGTGTATGAGAATCCTTCGTTAAGGCCCAAGGGGGATAAAGTTTTTAATTTAAATATCCAGAAGCTCTCTCGCTGTAAGAGTCTTTTGTCCAGATCTCCCTTCCTTGGTCCCAACTTTATTTTTTCTACTCCATTAAAGCGTAAGCCCTGTGCAGAGCCGGCATGTTTAATTTTCAAATGTCTTGATATAGATGTATCTATCTGTCTAGATGGATTCACAGAGTTTATGTGTTCAAGGATGCGGGTTTTAAACTGTCTGAAAGTCTTCCCCACGTATTTCAAATTGCAACTGCAAGTAATGAGGTATATTAGGCCCTCGGTTTTGCAGTTAAAGAAGGTTTTAGTTGTGTGTATCTCAGTATTATCCGAGTTAGAGAATGATTTCGATTGTTTCCGGATAAATTTACAGGCCTTACACTTGCCGCACTGAAAGGTGCCGGCAGCAGGCGATTTAAGCCAGGTGTTAGTAGGTTTTGGGAGAGATAAATGGCTTGGAACCAAAATATCTTTTAGGTTCTGACCTCTCCTTGCTGTAATCGATACGTGGGGTGTCAGCACATCTTTAAGATGTGTATCTTGGTACAGTAGTGGCCAGAATCTCTCTAGTGTTTTTTTCATACCGTCCCAACCCGAATCAAAGGTTCCAATACATCTTATTATTTCCTGATTTTTGTTTTGGGGGGGGGGGGACTTTTCGGACAGAAGGTTGGTCCTTTCAGTAGCTAGTGCCCTGTGATAAGCTCTTTTTAGACACTTGTTTGGATATCCCTTGGCTTTAAAAAGGGATCTCAGGGTCTGTGCTTTTATTTTAAAATCTTCTTGGGAGGAACAATTCCTCCTTAGTCTGAGATATTGGCCTGTCGGTATCCCACTTTTTAAAGCAGGGGGGTGATGACTCTCCCAGTTCAGAAAGTTATTGGTTGCGGTTGGTTTTTTGAAAAGCGTGGTGGTGAAATCGTTGTTATGAGAAATTTCGAGAGTTAGGTCCAAAAAATTCAGTCTTTTATCATCCTATATCGAAAGTGAATTTAAGGTTAATCTCATTCACATTGAGTACTTCCACGAATTCATGGAATAGATCAATCGGACCTGTCCACACTATCAAAATGTCATCGATATAGCGTTACCATAGGTTTATGTGTACGCTAAATTTATCGAGACTAGGGTTGAAGACAATGTTACTTTCCCATCACCCCAGGTGAAGGTTGGCATAGGATGGTGCACAAGTCGTACCCATCGCTGTGCCCTTCACCTGGTGATAGTAGTTGCCTTTAAAGAGGAAGTAATTATGAGTCAATATAAACCTCAACAGTCTGAGGACAAACTCATTGTGTTCATTGCGGGTACGGTCTCTCATATACAGAAACGTTCTAACGTGTCTGATACCAACATCATGGGGAATAGAACTATACAGACCCTCAACATCTAGGCTACAAAGGCTTGCTTTGGCCGGAATTTTCATATCTTTGAGGATGCTGAGGGTCTGCTTAGTGTCTCTCAAATGAGAAGGAAGAGACTTAACTAGATCACGAAGGATGTGTTCAATATACACACTACAATTCTGCGTCAGATTATTATTGCCTGAAACGATAGGTCTCCCTGACAATGTTTTGTGCTGTTTATGAATTTTTGGTAAAGCATAAAAAGTAGCTATCACTGGTTTTTTATTGAACATAAATTTAAATTCATCCTTAGAAATGAGATTGGACTGAAGTGCTTCCTCTAGTATTCCTTTTAATTCATTTAGATATTTAGCTGTGGGGTCTGAGCTCAGAATCATATATGTGTCTTTGTCGTCTAGGATTCTGCTGACCATTTCAATATAAGCGGTTTTATTCATAACGACTATGTTGCCCCCTTTGTCTGAAGCCTTTATGATAATTGAGTCATTCTGTCTTAGTGTATTGAGAGCTTTTCTTTCAGCTTGACTCAAATTATCAAAATGGTCAGAGGAATAGAAATCATCACTCATACCCTCAATCTCTTTGCATGTCAGTTCAACAAAGAGGTCGATGTATTTAAACTCCGAAATATATGGTGTGAATTTACTTCTAAGTTTCAGATTCGTGAAGGGTGCTTGCTTCTTCGTAGGGAGGTCATTGCTGTTGAGGAGATCAACTAAATTGTCAAGAAGATCCATATCCTTAACCTCCAACCCCAGTCTTAATGCCTTTTTAGATTTTTGAATCTCATGAAACTTATGTAACGCCAACTTGCGTGCGAAAAGATGGATGTCCTTTGTCCACACAAACTTATCGAACTTGGGTGTAGGGACAAAGGCCAGCCCTCTTCCAAGCACCTGGGACTCAAGGGGAGTGAGTTGATGAGACGACAAATTAATGATCTGGCTACTTTGTATTAATAAGCTTTTCTCCTTTTGTATCCTCGTGTTGAGGTTTTGCTTCTTGTGTTTCTTTGGCTTTTCTCCTCTGTATTCGTTCTTTCTAAAAAATTAAACCCTTTCTTAAGGATACTTTTAGGATTACCCTCTGCTGATGTTGAGGGGCTTTCTTGGTTTGAATCAGGCTCTGATGCACTGGAGTCGTACTCTGATGTGGAGAATCTATCAAAGTCTACTCTCTTGCTTTTAAATTTGCGGTAGATATTACCAGTTTGAAAATCTTTTGTATCTCTCATGAATTTGGAGTGTTTCCTAAGTTTAATTGATGTTTGAAACTTATCTAGGTTGGTTTTGAGTTTTATCTCAAATTGTTCGAAGTTGGGTTCGTTTTTGTACGTCTGGACTTTTTCAATCTCCTCGTCCACCTCTTTATTAACTCTCTCTAGTCTCTTAGTTTCGTACCTACATAAAATATCCATGAATTTTTTTGAGCATGTTCCTGCTGCCTCTTCCCATTCTTTAATAAACTCGGATTCTTCAATATGTGGGGCAGGGATATTTTGAACCCTCAAACCTCTTGGAATAAGTTCCTTGCTTAGATATTTTTCTAAGGAAGCTATCTCCCAACCTGCTTTAATTTGCTGTTTAAATAAGAATGTTAAGTGGTTGAATGCTGAGTTTATATTTGTATGAGTGATATTCTCTTGCAGGTGCCCCTCAGAGAAGACTGAGTCTATGTCAGAGTACCAGGCATCCCTTGACGTTTTATCTGATAGAAAACCGGCCATAACCAGGCAACACTTAAAAGGTGATATGGTACTGAAACCAATTTAACAAAAAAAGTAGTAGAAATTGACTAGGCCAAAGGTAGTGGTTATTCCAGACTTGAATATACCACCCTCCTAGTGGTCAGTCACACCTTTAAATGACACTCCAGTGGTGTCAAGGGGCATAACCCCAAAATGGAAGTACTAGAAAATGACTTTCCTGTTACTGGTCACTAAAACCAGAACCAGGACTGTCAGCTGGACAAAATATTAGTAGATAATAGATAATTAAATCAAAATTGCCATCAATATGTCGGAATATAGAGAGGGTTCATACGTAGATTCAAGTGATTAAAATAGCCTAAATGGCTCTTCTCCTGTCTAAAGGACTCTTAGACGTAAAGAATCTATTTGAGACTCAGGACTTTAATATAATCAACCATAGTATGTCCATGTCAACAGTAAAAGCGGTTGTGGAATGAGCCTTTAAATTAACTCCTGTAATCTAGATGGAAAAGACAATCAGTCAAGGAGGAACTTTGAATATTGGCTGTATATAAAGTAACACTTGTAGCAAAGCCCGCTGTATCAGAAAAGCTACAATAAGAGTGTAGTTAAGCAATCAGCAATTTAGGATAACAGCATTTAGCTGGATACCAAGTAACATATAATAAAAGGAAAAAAGTCTACATGAAAATTCGTAGATTAATCACAAAATATGTCATAAATGATAAATCTTAAGTTAGTGGTTTCCTAAATCGCTATGGGGTACAAAGAGTATCTGTTGCCCCCTCAAATACATACAGAGCCAGTCCAGATTCCTCAATCAAATAGATAATTCCAATCTAGATAGCATATCAGGAGTGACAGGAGGAAAAGGTGAAAAATTAGGAAATAATAGTGCTAATGTGTAGAACCATGCTTAGAATGCTGGTTACCTACACATCGTGAAATAGTGCCCTAGAAGTGAAAATAAAAAGTGAGTGAAAGTGAAGGAGAAAAACCTCCTTCAACCCGACGCGCGTTTCGGTGCTGTGATGCACCTTCGTCAGGGGCTGAATTCGTTATGGACCCTAGACCTTGTTTAAATACCCCTGGTATTGTAACTGTTGAGAGGATTCCACCAATCAGGGTTCCTGTGTGGACCGTCAGTTGGCGCCAAAATGACGTCAGAATATGCTAATTAGCTGTTTAAATAAAGAAAAAAAGAAAAAAAAAAAAGGAGAAAGAAAACTCCAAACAGGGTTAAGTCCACCTCTACATTGTGTGGTTTATATTTAACCCTGTATGTACTCATTGGATGGAGTGACTTGCTTCATAGAATAGGGAAAGGACGAAGGTGAATATATCTGTGTAAATTTTATAGTCAGAGACGAATGATTCATCAAGAAATTTATATCATGTAAAGTCAGTGTATTGCTATCACAAGGCATTGTTTGAGAAGTAGACGGTTCATCATGGGTTATCTGGACGCCTGTGGGATCATGAGAATGGGTAGAGAGGCTTTGAGCGAAAAACCTCAAAAAAGTGAAAATAAGGGATTTTAACCCTCGCTCAGCCATGGGGACCTAATACCTATCCCAGGATATCATAAGGATTATATAAATATGGGCGGTCAGGTTAACTGTACTTCCTATTAGGGTAATGATCATTTCATTATCAAGCCTCATTCTCGATTTACGGGCGGAATTAACCCCCGCTATACTGTTCTTAGCAGTCGTGTGAAAATAGTAATAGCTGAGCTTATACCCAAAATTCCCATGTGCGGGTATTATCAATGGCTTGATGATCGTAAATAAATTGCCAGATATTCATGTACCAGTGTGTCTACATAAATACTAGGTAATAAATGCCTCTGATATACATAATCAGATATTGAGGCTTTTTATAATACAGATAAATTCATCAGTTCTTATTCTTACTAAATGGAGATTAGTATTTCGGTAATCGAAATTTGTCCAGCCATTCCCATTGGCAGTATCAATTCAATTTGTCAATTTAGATGGCTGGTACGTTGTGCTAGTCCATATATCCAAATAGCGTGTATAGTATTATAAATAGGAGATGGGGGGAAAAGTAGCATACGATATATTAAATTTTAAGTAATTTATATAACTTTTAATGAATCATGTGTCATCATGGGATCAGAGTGATCGGTCATGTATAAATCTTACTGGACATAATTTACTCAAATGAGTGAGTTATATAGTATAATTAAAGTGTATCCAGAAGATACCCACTAGACAGGCTATAATAATGAGGGCTGTATACCTTCTTTGAGCCACTAGGGGTCAGTCACAGACATACCAGGGGTAAATTTCCATATTGAATGTATCTAAGTAGTATTTACTCTTTTGATGGATTAATTTCCAATTATTAAATAGTAAATTAATGAAGTGTTGCTAGGGAAGAACCGGTATTTAATCAGGGATAAAGGGAGTGTATGAGAATCCTTCGTTAAGGCCCAAGGGGGATAAAGTTTTTAATTTAAATATCCAGAAGCTCTCTCGCTGTAAGAGTCTTTTGTCCAGATCTCCCTTCCTTGGTCCCAACTTTATTTTTTCTACTCCATTAAAGCGTAAGCCCTGTGCAGAGCCGGCATGTTTAATTTTCAAATGTCTTGATATAGATGTATCTATCTGTCTAGATGGATTCACAGAGTTTGTGTTCAAGGATGCGGGTTTTAAACTGTCTGAAAGTCTTCCCCACGTATTTCAAATTGCAACTGCAAGTAATGAGGTATATTAGGCCCTCGGTTTTGCAGTTAAAGAAGGTTTTAGTTGTGTGTATCTCAGTATTATCCGAGTTAGAGAATGATTTCGATTGTTTCCGGATAAATTTACAGGCCTTACACTTGCCGCACTGAAAGGTGCCGGCAGCAGGCGATTTAAGCCAGGTGTTAGTAGGTTTTGGGAGAGATAAATGGCTTGGAACCAAAATATCTTTTAGGTTCTGACCTCTCTTTGCTGTAATCGATACGTGGGGTGTCAGCACATCTTTAAGATGTGTATCTTGGTACAGTAGTGGCCAGAATCTCTCTAGTGTTTTTTTCATACCGTCCCAACCCGAATCAAAGGTTCCAATACATCTTATTATTTCCTGATTTTTGTTTTGGGGGGGGGACTTTTCGGACAGAAGGTTGGTCCTTTCAGTAGCTAGTGCCCTGTGATAAGCTCTTTTTAGACACTTGTTTGGATATCCCTTGGCTTTAAAAAGGGATCTCAGGGTCTGTGCTTTTATTTTAAAATCTTCTTGGGAGGAACAATTCCTCCTTAGTCTGAGATATTGGCCTGTCGGTATCCCACTTTTTAAAGCAGGGGGGTGATGACTCTCCCAGTTCAGAAAGTTATTGGTTGCGGTTGGTTTTTTGAAAAGCGTGGTGGTGAAATCGTTGTTATGAGAAATTTCGAGACATTTGAAAATTAAACATGCCGGCTCTGCACAGGGCTTACGCTTTAATGGAGTAGAAAAAATAAAGTTGGGACCAAGGAAGGGAGATCTGGACAAAAGACTCTTACAGCGAGAGAGCTTCTGGATATTTAAATTAAAAACTTTATCCCCCTTGGGCCTTAACGAAGGATTCTCATACACTCCCTTTATCCCTGATTAAATACCGGTTCTTCCCTAGCAACACTTCATTAATTTACTATTTAATAATTGGAAATTAATCCATCAAAAGAGTAAATACTACTTAGATACATTCAATATGGAAATTTACCCCTGGTATGTCTGTGACTGACCCCTAGTGGCTCAAAGAAGGTATACAGCCCTCATTATTATAGCCTGTCTAGTGGGTATCTTCTGGATACACTTTAATTATACTATATAACTCACTCATTTGAGTAAATTATGTCCAGTAAGATTTACACATGACCGATCACTCTGATCCCATGATGACACATGATCCATTAAAAGTTATATAAATTACTTAAAATTTAATATATCGTATGCTACTTTTCCCCCCATCTCCTATTTATAATACTATACACGCTATTTGGATATATGGACTAGCACAACGTACCAGCCATCTAAATTGACAAATTGAATTGATACTGCCAATGGGAATGGCTGGACAAATTTCGATTACCGAAATACTAATCTCCATTTAGTAAGAATAAGAACTGATGAATTTATCTGTATTATAAAAAGCCTCAATATTTGATTATGTATATCAGAGGCATTTATTACCTAGTATTTATGTAGACACACTGGTACATGAGTATCTGGCAATTTATTTACGATCATCAAGCCATTGATAATACCCGCACATGGGAATTTTGGGTATAAGCTCAGCTATTACTATTTTCACATGACTGCTAAGAACAGTATAGCGGGGGTTAATTCCGCCCGTAAATCGAGAATGAGGCTTGATAATGAAATGATCATTACCCTAATAGGAAGTACAGTTAACCTGACCGCCCATATTTATATAATCCTTATGATATCCTGGGATAGGTATTAGGTCCCCATGGCTGAGCGAGGGTTAAAATCCCTTATTTTCACTTTTTTGAGGTTTTTCGCTCAAAGCCTCTCTACCCATTCTCATGATCCCACAGGCGTCCAGATAACCCATGATGAACCGTCTACTTCTCAAACAATGCCTTGTGATAGCAATACACTGACTTTACATGATATAAATTTCTTGACGAATCATTCGTCTCTGACTATAAAATTTACACAGATATATTCACCTTCGTCCTTTCCCTATTCTATGAAGCAAGTCACTCCATCCAATGAGTACATACAGGGTTAAATATAAACCACACAATGTAGAGGTGGACTTAACCCTGTTTGGAGTTTTCTTTCTCCTTTTTTTTTTTTCTTTTTTTCTTTATTTAAACAGCGAATTAGCATATTCTGACGTCATTTTGGCGCCAACTGACGGTCCACACAGGAACCCTGATTGGTGGAATCCTCTCAACAGTTACAATACCAGGGGTATTTAAACAAGGTCTAGGGTCCATAACAAATTCAGCCCCTGACGAAGGTGCATCACAGCACCGAAACGCGCGTCGGGTTGAAGGAGGTTTTTCTCCTTCACTTTCACTCACTTTTTATTTTCACTTCTAGGGCACTATTTCACGATGTGTAGGTAACCAGCACTCTAAGCATGGTTCTACACATTAGCACTATTATTTCCTAATTTTTCACCTTTTCCTCCTGTCACTCCTGATATGCTATCTAGATTGGAATTATCTATTTGATTGAGGAATCTGGACTGGCTCTGTATGTATTTGAGGGGGCAACAGATACTCTTTGTACCCCATAGCGATTTAGGAAACCACTAACTTAAGATTTATCATTTATGACATATTTTGTGATTAATCTACGAATTTTCATGTAGACTTTTTTCCTTTTATTATATGTTACTTGGTATCCAGCTAAATGCTGTTATCCTAAATTGCTGATTGCTTAACTACACTCTTATTGTAGCTTTTCTGATACAGCGGGCTTTGCAACAAGTGTTACTTTATATACAGCCAATATTCAAAGTTCCTCCTTGACTGATTGTCTTTTCCATCTAGATTACAGGAGTTAATTTAAAGGCTCATTCCACAACCGCTTTTACTGTTGACATGGACATACTATGGTTGATTATATTAAAGTCCTGAGTCTCAAATAGATTCTTTACGTCTAAGAGTCCTTTAGACAGGAGAAGAGCCATTTAGGCTATTTTAATCACTTGAATCTACGTATGAACCCTCTCTATATTCCGACATATTGATGGCAATTTTGATTTAATTATCTATTATCTACTAATATTTTGTCCAGCTGACAGTCCTGGTTCTGGTTTTAGTGACCAGTAACAGGAAAGTCATTTTCTAGTACTGCAAATTATTTAAAATACTTAAAAAGTTGGCTTTCAGTAATACCCATTGTTATTTTAAGATCCAGCATTTCCATAGTAAGCCGACTCATCGTAAAACAAGTGACAAGTTGGTGGCAGCTAGCTGCTTTATCGGTCTTTGTAGTGCTTGTTATAAATAGCTAACTTAAAACAATGTTACACCAATCTATACCCACTTTTTTTTTTTTTAAGAGAAATACAAATAAAGTATATTTTATTTATTTTTTTCCTAACATGGCAATCATACATCTTATCGAGCATTATATCAATATTTCTGTTAATACAGAATACATTAAACCTCAATTTTTTATAGCCCTTAGTGAATAACAGTTGACCAGGCATCTACAAATGTGTGAGGACATGGTCCATTTGATGGAAGCTCTGAGCTTAAAGAGTCAGTATTAAAGGGACACTCCAGACCCCTAGGAGTGTGACCCATTTCTTTCATTTTAATTTTATAAAAAGTGCAGATTTAAATAAAAATGTACACTTTTATTAAAATAAAAAATAAAAAAATCTAGTTACACCCCCTTGACTTTCAAGCAGACAACAGTTCTTGTTATTTCCTGGTTTGGTTAGCTTAGTGGAGCTAAACTCAAGAGGCAGCGATTGCACAGAGCAAGTGCCTTGCAAAGACTTCTCATCGAGCTGCATTGGGAAGTCTGTGATTGGACAGCCACAGAAAGTCTGGGCTGGGTTACAAGGAGAGGGCTTGCAAAAGCTTCAGACAAGAGATCTACAGGTTTTGCAAGCAGTTTGCAGCTATAATCCAGATGAAAATACGTATAATTAAATGTATGCAAGGTTTCATTTGGGGTATATCTAGCAAGTAGTGATTTTTAATGATTTTGTATTTGTACAGTGGAGTGTCACTTTAAATAAATGAAATGTTCTTCTCTGTAAAATGCCAAAATGGCAAATGTAGTTAATTGTTTTTAAAGAGCAGAGATGGCCAACAAGCATAGCTCCAGTTATTGAAGCACTACAACTTCCATTATGCTTTTTTCAGATTTAAGGATTACAAAGCATCATGGATGTAGTTCCATAACAACTGGAGATTTACCTTTGTGGCTGCCCCTATATAACAGCATACATACCACATCTTGGCTCCTGGGCAGATCCCTTCATGAATAACATACAAGGGGCTGCATTGATTAGCTTCTTCAGTCGGACGGTGATGTCTTCTTTTGGAGCACTTTCGGGGGCAGAGGTAAAAGAAGCGCTTGCTGCGTGGCGCTGGACCCGCTTCGTCAACTCAGGTGCATGGGCCCCATCTAATCGGTCTATCTTCTGGGAGTTCTAAAGGAAGAAGCATTTTTATTTATTTTTTTACCTCGTTTAGAATAATCTATTTTTAAAGGATTAAATGGACCTGACATGGTAGCATTTTTTCATGTACTGTAAATTTCACAGTTTACAGTACAGTACAATATCTTGTCACAAGTCAGAATTTAAAATGCAGTACTACTTCCGCGATCGGTTTGTGAATATACAGAATGGTGTTCAAGCAGAATTTGTAGACATTAATTCAGGGCAGAAATTATTGTGCATTATGTAGGGAGAGTGTTTTGCACATAACAAAAGATGTAATAAGATGATAGTATAAATCCATAAAATTTATGTTCAGTCAAATTCTTTATCACCAGAGTTGTACAATGATTATTTTCCATTACACAAATAAACCATCCAGGAGAAGCAGATTATTTTGGGCATAATTAGGAAGAGTGTTGAAGACAAGGATTATTAAATCAGGACCTGGATATGAATAGGAACGAGAATGAGAGAAACACAAAAATAAAAAGACAGAACAATTTGATGTTAGTTTTAAAAAACAGACAGTTACATTTAAAGTGCATGTGAACATATGCTTATTACTTCCACAAGTCAAACTAATGGTACGCACACTAGCACAGTCTTTGACAAAGTTAAAATAAACAGAAGCCTGTCCAAACACCTTTTGGTCACCATACATTAATCAACTAATTTCGTACCACTGATGAACAGACTTCTTGCCTTAAACTCATGGTTACATTTGGATGTTTGAAGAGGGAGGTTTCTGGTTCTGACGCATTTCAAGTCCGGCAGATTGTAACAGCTTTGTCTAAAACAGCATGAGCAGTGAAGGAATCCATATTAACCTATTCAAGCCTTTTGTCCTTATCTGCAAGTCTTGGCCTAAACAATCTAATAAATACATAGGTAAACCAGAAAGAAGTACCTGAAACCCTTACACAAAGCTATGATATGCCTTACCCAAAGTTCAATGGATTGCATGATATTGCTACAGTAAAATGGGTAAACAGGACCATACAGCTCTGTTATTGAAATTGCACAGAGGCACTCATGCTATTATTTACAAAGCACAGACCTTCTTTAAGAGGATGTGTATTAAAGAAACCGCACAACGAGGCCTAATCACCAACCTATACACACACATATGTTCAGAAATGGAGGAATGGGGATCCCTAGCATACACAGACGCCTGGGAAAGAGATCTAGGGGAGGTACTAGAGGGAGTAGAGTGGAGAGAAATCTGGGAAGCAAAAAATTCAGTGTCCATTTGCGTATCCCTTCAAGAACAGGCATATAAAACGATGTTTAGATGGTACACCACACCGGCCAAACTGCATTGCATGAAACAAACACCAACTGATACCTGTTGGAGGGGATGCGGCCTTAGGGGCACATACATTCACATGTGGTGGGAATGCTCCCAAGCGCAATCCTTTTGGACAAAGATATACAACCTGATTAAAATAATTTTTCATAGAGCGCCCAACTTAAACCCCTGGACATACTTGCTTAGCAGATCTTTAGATGACTGGACAAGGAGGGAACAGAAACTGATCCATAAGATCACTCTAGCCGCCAGGAGAGAGAGAGCGCAGACTTGGCTACAAATACAAATGCCACCAATTCGGAGGGTCATATCCAACATAAAAGAGGTATATCTAACGGACAACTTGACCGCCCGACTAAGAGGGACCATGACCAGCTTCGACAAATTGTGGGACCCATGGCAGAACAGCGATCTTTCTGATGAAATGACATCCACCCGACCCCCGTGAGACATGGGTAGGAGCTACATAAGGACCCCCTCAGAGGACCCCTCACACAAGGCCACACTGCACGGGACTGACTCATAACCCCGCCCCTCTTCCACCCCCCCCCGCCCCTCTTCCCCCACAATTTTCTCTAGCTAACCCTCTATACTCTTACTTTTTTCTTGATTCATAATATCGTGGGGGAGCCCGGGAACCGAACCTTACATAATTAGCAAATTGGACGACCCCGGGCCGGTCCAGTACACTACACAAGGGACAGGAGACGGAGTTCCCTCCCGACCAAAACCTTTACCATACAATAATACTGGCTACATTGTGCTAAATAATGTAGGACACCACCCGCTACTGTACAGTGTGATAAATAACCACAAAAAGTGCACCGTCCTGTTGTAACAAGAGCTCGTCTTATTAAACGGGGATGCAACATAAAGGGAACGCAAGGGGAATGAGAAATCTCGCTACAGTATGCACCCCTACTGCATTGTACCAATTGTGTAATGTTAACAACGAGATGAGCACACAGGACGTATATTATATTATATGTTATGTCTAATAAATGGAAAAACCCTTGACGAGTAGCTAGACAAGCCTACTACTGTTTTGTTGGATACGCATTGAGCGATCATGTGTATAACAGTGTTCAAATATGTTGCAAATTAATAGGCTTTTGCACAAGCCATGTTGCTTATGTTATCAAACTACCCTGGTCAAGATGGTAAAATAAAAAAAATAAAAATAAAAAAAGATCGATTAAAAACACAAATGAAACATGTACAAAATGTCTAAGAAAAGGAAAAATAGAAAATCCTTCAGCATGGCCATTAGAGGGAGGAAAAGAGCCATTATTGATCAAGTTAAAAGCAGAGAGAGGAAGCAGAGTTTTAAACTTTGTGTTTTCTTACTACATATACTAGAACTTTTGGCAAAATATCAGCCATTTGCAGGCAAACTAAATTTTGAATTGTTACCTGGAATGCTCTAACCTGGAATTAACATAGGTACCAACTGGACTGCAATCAGTTCAAGAGAAAATGGTATGTAATGCATAGGTAAAAGATTTAAAGGAAAATTAAACAAGCAAAGAAAATAAGATATCAAAAGCAAAGTAAAAATAAATCACTTAACTCCCCATTGATTACATGGGTTACTGAATAGGCGGATACGCTTTTTAAATACAACCAACCATTCTATTTTACTGATTAAATTTACACATTGCTTGTTTATAAATTCTTTTGACTTCATTACAAAACATGATGGCATTGTGAATTACCTTTTTTTCACAACCATCTGTGTAATGGTTACGTCACCAAAGAATAATGACTACTGTTTACATGTACGGCAGTAAGGCTCATAAAAAAATATAGAAAACATTGTTTCGTTTTACAATCTGTTTCTTACCTTAAAAAACAAAAATGTTGGCACAGAGGTAATTTCATACTTTTCCGACACTTCTGGAATGGCTTCTGCTTCAAGCTTCAAAATAAGAAGGAAAGGGGGGGGGCAGATTGTAATGTTTCAGTCATTTTATTTTCATGTCCTTTTTATGGCTTATGTTCATAAAAAGCCTCGCAGGGATACTTGGCATGTTTAAAAGGAGTTCAATGCAAAAGTTTGCAAGTCATTTGCATTTAAATGAGACTCACTGGGCTGCCCTGTCATCCACTGAGCTTGCACTATGACAAAACAGGTTCAAGGGTTCTTATTTTGTTGCACATTTCAAAAGATGCCTGGAGGCTGCAAATAAAAATTTTGGTGCACTAGTGACCTAGTAAATTTTCAATCATATGCAGCTACCACTATATTGAAATCCATAAATCACTGACCCCAGTTATGTCATGATTACAGTGCTTATTTTCTGCCCACAGCAATTCTAGCTGTTTGCTCTATTGACTAATTTCGAGAGGCAGTACATCAAGACTGACATTTGCAGCTCTCTGCAAATTATGAAGCAAAAAAAAAGGAGTATTTCTTCAATAAACTATTGATGTCCGGGAAATTTTACACTTAACCCTTGCTCGGCAGCTGGGTACCAAGCAAGGGTCTAGTTAGAGCAATAACGCTAGGCAATTTTTAAAGACAAATGATAGACAGTTGAAATTAGTCAGTCAAGGAAAACAGGCAATGATGATTAATGTACGCATTTTTATACAGTGAAGGCATAGGTTTTCAAGAAAACCCAAGTACAAGTAAAGATTTTTCTGCAGCTACCCCCAAATAAGCGTACTTCCACTACACATACAAATAAAAGTTTTAGTTGGCACAAGTATTTATAGGTACACATGATTTCATTATAATAAAATTATGTGATTTGCAGAAATGGTCACAGATTATAAAAAAAAAAAAAAATAATTATGTTATAGTGTTATCTCATTGGGGACAAAATTGTACATGATTATTGATACCTAGATACAACTTGGTATCTTAACCATGTCCATGAAGATAGCACTAAGCATAGGTAATGTCATAACTGGATACCACAACCAAATATCTGTATCCACAGTTAAAGTGTGTAGCAGTGAAACAGCATTCTCTCTCCGGTCTTGTAGCGTGTCCCAGTTAGCAGACACCCATTGCTGCTTATCCTTCCTCATAGTGGGAGCCAGAAATCGTAAAATTTTCGACTGTTCTTTATTATAATCAGTTTAAAATATAAAACATGTGTAACAATCACACAAACCTAGTGGGCAAACATTTGAGCAAAGTTCCTAAAAACAAGTGCATCTCTGCATGTAATGCACAAAACCTTGTTTTGAGTAGCTGGAAGATTAGTGAAATGGCTATGCATGACTTCTTGCTTGTATTCAATTGCTACAATAAAGTTGATCTCTTACCCTGTTGGAAAATATCTCTATGCTGTGATATTTGGCAATGTTTAGCCAGCTGTTACTATCTTTATTTATTCAGCAACACCTTGAGAATTGGCTTTATACTCTGCTGCATTAATCTATAAATCTAAGATGGGCATCATTACACAAATGTCGAATGTAAACAAAAAGTACTCCAGTTCTAACTAATTTGCCATGTTTAAAAAAAAAAAAATAGTCAGCCTTAAGGGAACAATCCAAGGCTGATGTAGTGGTTGTGGTGCCAGGAGAGCCCTGACACCATCCAATGGTAAGTAGTCAACCCATTTAACATGGTTTGACAAATTAATTAAGACCCCTGGGTGCTTTTGTTGCATCCAGTCTTCTCCTGCATGTGAATAAAGTACAGTCTCTCCAAGACAAATATATGTGGCTGAGAGTGCTCAGCTGACACACTCAGCCAATGAGCGCAGTCTTGCATGTTGTGCTTAGCTATGTAGAGACAACCGGATTTTCCGGCAAGAGAAGAATGCTACGGCCACGAGCACTCGGATAACTTGTCAAACTGTATTAAAACGGTTTTGAATAGTTACTGTAGGGCAGGGCATTATTTCTCAATTAGGAATATTACAAAGACTGGCATATTAGGGGGCCAATGGAAATATTACAGGGTTTAAAATGGCAAGTCCTATACTACTAGCTAGGCCTTGAAACTTACTGCAGGCATTGAGGGCAAATGGCACATTCACCAGATTTTCACTAGCCAATTGCTACTGAAAATGTTGAGCCCTGATATTCCTGATTTCTTATTATAGATCATATGCTCATAAATTAATGGATGCAAAAGCAATGATGCCCAGCTCCAACTGGTCTAGAAGAGTTTCTAAAAAGCCATAGTTGAGGTATAAGGCTAACTAGTTAGAAACCAGCATTTTTGTGGTTACATGGAAGAAAGCCTGTTCCATTAATACAATTGCCACAAACAACACAAATTCAAGATTAATAATAAAATAAACAAAAATGTATAAAAAAAAGCTAAATTAAATCACCTGATCTACATGTCATTAATTGGGAGACACCACAGTATTGTAGACTATTTCATTCCCAGATATGGTGCACATCAGATTTAAAAAAAAAAAAAAAAAGCTATGGGACTTAGATCAATGTACTTTAACCCTTTGAGTGCTGGGGTGGTTTTGCTTTGCGTTTCCCCACTTCCTACTGGAGGCCAACCATATATCTGTTCACAGCTGTAAGGCATATTATTAGAAAAACTGTATTTCTTTTCAAATGTCATATAGGATTTACTTTGAAAAAAGAACAAAATTAAAAATACAATAATGTATATATTGTGGATAAACACACCCAATAATGAGTTCTATTTTTGGTCTGAGTTTAAAAGCATCCCAACATGCCTTGGATTTGTATTTATTTTCATAGGTAGAGGGGACACAAATAATTATATATTGTTTTTAAGCTCAATTTGATATTTTATGCTGATGTGTACAACAGCAGTTAATCAGCTCAAAAATACTTAATAGGATTTTTGCTTTAAATAGACACAAGATGGTAGTTTATCACATTAGTGTGAAAGCTTGTATTAAGTTTTTTTTTTCACAAACATATTGCACAGTGACTGCAGATTTTACAAACTGAGTATTTGTCAAAACAGCATAATATCCCAAGGTTTATTCAGCCACTTCCGCACAGAATTAAAAAAAAAATAAATAATATCAATTTATATTTAAAAAAACAACAATGTTTATGGTTTTGTTTTTTTTAAATCTACTTGTCCAAGAAACTAAAAAGGCCCAATCTACTTGTCCGGACAAAATAATTTCAGTTTGGAGTTGCATAGAGCACTGCACAATGAAAGGGTTATTCAATAAACTTTTTTTGTGAATTAAGTCCAAATGGACAATAAACACAACTTTTAAGTTTTAAGACAATAAACAGAACTTTTATGTTTTTCCATTCATCTAGAGTGCCGAATAGTTGCCTTCCTCTGGTATAGAGCAGGTCTCTGGAATTTCACTGGTCAATTCTCTGCCATTTAAAAGTGAAATTACTATTTCTGTAGCCCTAATCATACCTGCCCTGGCTGTGACTCACAGAGCCTACATGAAAAAAATGTTTTTATGTAGGTTGCTCCTTTATAGACATTTTGGTACTGTGTATTTGGCAATGAACAGACCGCAATGTTTGAGGACTATTACATGAAGTAAATGCATGTTGTTTTGTAACAGTCCTGCAACATTTGTTACTAAAGAGTTATTTTGGGGGAGGGAGAAGGAAGGAAGGGGGGTTTTCTTTGTCATTTCTTAGTTTCTGAAGGGCTGCAAATGCAGGTACAGGGAGTCATGTAGCTGGTTAGATGATTATCTGCATTCCCACACCAACAGCTAAAGCTCCTTTACTGATATAATGAAATCAGGGAGTTGTATTACAGAATCAGTTAGTGATCATTTAGGTCACACCGCTATTCTCACCTACCAGAAGAAGCAGCTGTCACACTGGTGAGCGTTACTCTGGCAACAAGGAACACACAATGTGACAAGCTTTTACTGCCTGGAGAAATCGGGGAGAGAGTATGAAGACATGTTTTAAGGAACACACAAAAAAATATTTTTTTTATTATTATTATTATTTAAATTGCATTTGATCCTTTGAATTTAAAGGGGAACTATAGTCACCCAGACCACTTCATCTCATTGAAGTAGTCTGGGTGCAGTGTCCCTGTCCCCCTTAGTCCTGCAATGTAAATAACTGCAGTTTTTACATTGCAGAACTAAGACTGCCTCTAGTGGCTGTCAATAAGACATCATTACAGGCACTAACTGGTGGATAAAGGACTCAGCATGAGGACATCAAGCGTCAGTAAAATCCTCATAGGAAGCCATCTAATAAATGCTTTCCTCTGGGGAGTATCTAATGCAACTGTGACTTTCCCCTCCGCACCCCCACCCCCTCAGATGAGGTTGTAGGAGGCGGAGCTCCAACCCAGTGCTGAGGGACATTGGTGCTGGAATCAGGTAAGTGACTAAAGAGTTTTTAACTCTATTAAAGGCCGGGGCGTAAAGCAGAGGGAGGACCAGAGGGCTCTATAGTGTCAGGAATGCATATTTGTATTCCTAACACTAAAGAATCTCTTAAATTAGCTTTGTTCCTCCTTGGTTCATTTTTTTTTTTATTTATTTTTTTATTGCTATAAAACTTCAACTGTAATCCAAAGCAGACTTTGTTTGCAAAGGACTGGGCAACATTTCAGCTTGGCAATAGAGTCTTCCAGCAGCAGGACAAACTCTTCACAGCACCCAATACACCTACAGTGAGGTTGATTCTGATTACCTTTGTCGAATCAGATGCTTCTCATAGAAAAGCACTGAGGACACACAATCTATGAGCAGCTATCTCCATGATCCATCAATCTAATGGTTCTTAATCAGATGTTTCTTTAGGAGACGAATTATGTTAGCTAACAATGAATGTGAAATCCTTTGAAAATTGTAGGATGAAAGGAGGAGAGAAGAAGATGTTCTACTGGCTATCAAAAACAATATACCCTGTACTCAAGTTCCGCATATATGCTCCGGCCTTCCACCAAGGGGGCGCTCTATGTGTAGGATGGACATCGCTGAATCCACCAAAGCAGTATCAGAGAAAAGAAACACAGGCAGCACTCCAGGATAATGAAGGTAAATTTATTCGTGGGTTCACCACCTCACCAAAAAATAAGTGCGACGTTTCGGCTCCTCATGATTAAGCATGATAAAGGCTCTAAGAAGCCGAAACGTTGCACTTATTTTTTGGTGAGGTGGTGAACACACGAATAAATTTACCTTTGTTATCCTGGAGTGCTGCATGTGTTTCTCTTCTCTGATATTCTACTGGCTGTCTGACAACCACTGGATGCATGTTTTGGACAATTATAATTTCTCAGAACAATGCCTTACATGATCCTAGTAAAGAAGCAGCGTCTATACACCGATATCACTACATAAAGATGTGATGGTTTTGGCGCTTAGAGTGTCCCTTTAAATCAGTAGGTACCAATTTAAAGAGTGTTTCAATTAAACCCTTAAGGACACAACTTCTGTAATAAAAGTGAATCATGACGGAATATTTCCGTCATGTGTCCTTAAGGGGTTAATTCTGCACAATTAAAGAACTCATCTCCCAACACTGCAGGATATCAGTATGAGAATCCATTAGCTTGCTGTAGCTAACAGATCTTGTGTAAATAAAATTGTAACATTTTTCTCCCTGCCAGTCAGGAATGAAGAAAATATCTCCCTTGATCAGTGTGATAAACTGTATAGTAGCATCATGGTTCATTTCTCCGTAATACCTCACTGCCTGTGTAGAAACTGTAGCAGCCATATTACTATTCAGTCTCCATTCTGTAACTCCCAGTGAACCAGAATATTAAAAAATTAATAACACAATGCTCAAATTCACTGGGGAAATCTGACAGTGTCAGCACAGGGTGCATGGTCCCTTTAACACACATCTGCTCTTAGTATTATGACCCTTAATACAAATAGGGGTGTGTAGACCACATGCTCCCAGCCCCGGCCATGTCCTTATGGTACCAGCCCTGAACTACATGTCCCGGGCATTGGGCAATACAAATTCAACAGCCCTGTCTATTATTTAGAGCTGATATCCCAAGCTATATTATCTAGACTGTGGGATTATTGACAGTCAGGTTACCTTGATTGATGACTCTCCCACTGCCCTCTGCATAATTTCTCCTACCCTATGACCTTACTTTCTCACTACATGACAGCCACTGCTCCGATACAACTTTTATCTTCCAAATTTTCCTTATTACTTTGCATGTGTTTCTCTACTTCACTTCGTGTTTATTTCAGTGCCCTCAGTCTGCCTTTCTCAGTGTTTCTTTCTAGCACTAAATATAAACATATACTTACTGTATGCTTGCTTATTTCTCACTGTGTGATTGTCTAACTTTATCAGTCAATGTGTGCCTCCCTCTCTCTCACTCCAAGAGCACAAGAACTTATCTGTGTGTGCCGGACAGACACACACATAAGCCACATTACATGTGACTTCTAGCTAAACATCATATTTGGCCTTAACTCGTTTGAGATAAAATTGTCATTCAAATTGACACTCCAGACCACTATAGCACTTTAGCTTGCGGAAGAGCTTTAAGAGTGAATAGCGTGTCCTCTTTTTTTAAATTTTATAAAAAGTGCAGATTTCAATAGAAATGTAAAACTATTATAAAATAACCCCAGGCATTTAAGAAGACAGGTTCTGTTACTTCATGGTTTGTTCAGCAATTGCTTAGAGCACCTGTCTTGCAATGACTTCTCATTGAGCTGCATTGGAGTGTCTGTAAGCTACAGAAAGTCTGATTTGTGAAAGAAGCAAAGGGCTTGCCAAGGGTGGAAACAACTGAACTGCAGCTTTTGCAAGCTGTATTTAGATAAATCCACAATGAAAAAATGCTTAATTAAATGCATGCACGTTTTCATTTGGGTATATCTACTAAACATTGAATTTTCATTTTTAATTTGGGTAGTGGAGGGTCCCTTTAATGGTAAGATTGCTTATAAAATATGTTTTTACACAGAGGATAAACTTCCCTTAGGCTTTCATTAAGAGTTGATTAAATAATCAATGTTAGCATGTTTCCATACCCGTACAAATGTGACTTGAGGCTGGTCCTTTGCCAATTCTTCCATCACTTCGTTCATTTGGGAGCATTGTGGAGCCCATTGTGCCCAGAAATGCACAACTAAGAGTGAACTAAGAATATAAAGAAATAAAAAAGAGAGAGAAAGAAATAAGAATATGATTTAAATTGATATTTTATTATATTTTCTTTGTAGATTTGAAAGAAATGTAAACCTAGCAGTTCTTTATATTGTTTTCTACTTGTGCTTAAAGTAGCTTTGTCATTTTGAGGGTAATTTAAATAGTCTGAAAAGACTTCCGTAGATGACATTCCCTCCTTGGTGTGTGGCGGCCTGGGTCACTTCTAAAGGTAGTTATAAAAACCTGAAGCTATCCCCCGGTAAGCACCAACATCTTTTCATTCTTCAGCTCCTGGGGTACATTATCTTCCAGGAGATCAATGCATTATTCCTACACAGCATTATCTATAAGCAAGAGAAAATTTCAGTCTAGCAGCTGCTGTGGGGACTGACAAATGTTGATGACGAAAGAATGAACTTCACCCATTAGACAAAAAGTTATCCGTATTTTGTCTTATGATCTTGTTTGATTGTGGTTTAATTTAAAAAATTAAAATCACAGTCATGAATATTTCAGAAAGATTCTATTTAAAAAAATACTGAAAAGTAACAAAAGGACACAACACCAACACAGCATTAATACATTACTGGGTTTTGGCATCATTAATGTGCTGTATTTTTTGCAGGCTGAAATCTTTTTTCAAATAAGTCCAAAAAGGTTTTGCAAGTTCTGTCTTTTTCTGGAATGAGGGTATATGGATAATGAGATAATGGTACAGCTTCTGTACTTTTTGTCCCCCAAAAATTACAAAGACTTGAACAATAACACAGCAAATTAAAGAGTTACTTCAACCAAACAAGTGCCTTCATTTTTGGGTGAAGAGTAACCCCACTCTTGACTATGGATGTGAAATATTCACAAAATGTACATTAGCCAGGCCGGAAGATTTTTCTTTTTTTTTTACAATTCACCTATTTCTGTTTTAAACCATTTATGAATGGTTTGACAACTTACCTGGGTTCACCAGGCATCAGACAAATGAGCTGGACCAGCACAGCCAGACTTAACTGAGTGGAACTAACAAAAGCTCCTTGCAGGAGGCAAATGGTGACCGGAAGATCACAGGTAAGTTATCAAACTGTTTGACTACTTACCCTGAGAGTGTAAAGGGCACTCACGACACTTTATCCACTGCAGTGGGCTTGAAGTGTACCTTAAACCTTTTTTGGACTAATGGCAGTCTATGTGATCACAAGATTCCAGTCCTTAAAGGAACACTATAGTGTTAGAAATACAAATGTGTATTCCTAACGCTACAGAGCGGTGATTAGGACCCCGTTCCACGGCGAATAAATGGTTAATTAACCATTTATTTGCTTATGTTAATCCAGCGCTGGGCTCCCTCTGCACTGTTGACCTGTCCTCCTCCATCAACGTCAGCTCCCGAGTGGAGCCAAATGCGCATTCAAACACAGAGGCACGCGCGCATTCAAATCCGCCCATAGGAAAGCATTACTCAGTGCTTTCCTATGGGGATATTTTTTGACACTGGACTCTGTGAGGACATCCAGCATCAAATAAGTGCGATTTACTCCGTGTAAATCACGGAAGCCGCCTCTAGTGGCTGTCAGGGATACAGCCACTAGAGGCTGGATTAACCCTGCAGTGTTAACATACCAGTTTCTCTGAAACTGCTATGTTTTCAGCTGCAGGGTTAAAACTAGAGGGACCTGGCACCCAGACCACTTCATTGAGCTGAAGTGATCTGGGTGCCTATAGTGGTCCTTTAAGGCAAATGTAGTCCACACCACCTAGAGTGCCAAAGGTTGCCTACCCGTTTTAGAAAGTCAATATTCCATGAATATCATCTATAATAATATATGATTAACCTGCTAAATGTAGGTTAACCATCGCAAACTGTACAAATTACATTTATATCTGATTATAACAGTGTTTCCTATAAGGCGCACAAACAGATCAGTTATTTAAGCATTTCCAAAGTAATTTCCATTGAGAACACAGACCCATTCTGGACTATTTGCGCTTTCTTTGAAGACTGACAAGGAGAGAACCAAAGGTTTAAGAAACCTAAATATTTATAAAGATTTGGGGAATGTGAGAGCTATCAGCTAATTTGGGATCATGCCCCTTCTGGACAGGGGAAAGCAACCTTTGGCTGGCACCCAATATGTGGTGGACTACATCTCCCATAATGCTCTTACAGCCACCATGCTGTCAAATCACCATTGGAGATGTAGTCCATAATAGCTGGGGTATCACAGGTTGCCCACTCCTGCCCTAGGAGAATGTCACAGCAATGGCCTCATTGCCCCCATGGTGACCATGCTCTGCCCCTCCAGCAGCACACCTATCCAGGAGCAATACAAGGAGGGCCGTGTGGTCACTGGAGCTCTGGGAGACACTCAGCTGTCACGTACTTCCCAGCTTTCTGCAGCAGCTCCTCAAACTGACTGGGAGAGCCGGCCTCTACCACCACCGCCGCCATGTTGCCTGGAGCAATGAGGAATCGAGCGCCGAGCTAGTCGATCTGCGTTCGATCAGTGCAGGCGCGCGATTCGATTAGGTGTCGCTGACACTTCCGCCCCTGGCTTCAGACCTGACGAACGGAGCGCGGAGAAATCGATTGTAAGGGGATAGCAGTGGGACAAACTTACTCGCTGAGAATCAAACGCTCACTAAGCAGAGCAACATGAATACTGTAGATTATAAAGTAGAAATTTGCAAGGAATGATTTTTATTTTATTTTTTTTTCTCAGTGGTCAATCTATTAAGATAACCTGTTTAAGAAGTAGCTGTTTGTAAAATAATATAAAAAAAAAAAAAAATGAAACAGATGTAAATACAAAGTTTACAAAAAAAAAACAAAGGTTACAAATTGTTATGTAATAATAAAATGGAAATATTTTTATACAGTTATAATATATATATATACACTCTCTCTCTCTCTCCAGGTAAGCAATGAAAAGTAAACATTTTTGAGTAATACTTTTTTTTTAAATTGTTTCACGGGCATAAATTTATTTTCAAAATGTTACTTTTCATTGTTTGTGTAAAATTTGTTTTACAGCAGTCCAGGTTTTTTTTTTAAAGATATTTTGCCAGCCCCAACTTACTTTGAGCAGTTGTTTACACATTTCGCTTATATTACCAGATGTTTTTAATTTGGTTACCCGCAATGCCGAATGAGTTAATTTGGGACACTGTAAGCGCTAAAACAGCTTTAGCTTATTTAAGTGGTTTTGGTGTATAGATCATGCCCCTGCAGTTTCACTGCTCAGTTCTCTGCCATTTACAAGTTCAATCACTTTGTTTATGTAGCTCTAGCAACACTTCTTCTGCCTGTGACTAACACTTCCTGAAAAAGAGCTGACATTCTCTAGGTTCCCCTATTGCACAGTGTGTTTACTTTAGAAGTTCTAATCTCCTGCCCGGTAATAGCCTGCAACAGCCTCATCTGTATGATTAAAGTTGCATTAACAGAGCAAGAGATAATAAGTTCTAAAGGCACTGTCCTATAAGAAATTAGTAAAAATGAAACAATTTTTTCATTAAGGCTGTGAGTCACAGCCAGGGGAGGTGTAGCTAGAGCTACAAAAACAGAAACAAAATTGATTTAACTACTAAATGGCAAAGAATTGGGCAGTGAGCCTGAATGGGCATGATATACACACCAAAACTGTTTTATTAAGGCAAAAAATTTTGGTGCTTAAAGTATCCATTTATATATTATAATCTGGCGTGTGTGTGTCTGAATAGTAATGACTGATTGGGGCTATTCTGATGAACAGCAACTGGCATCCGGTTAGACAGTGGCACTATTTCTAATTTTTTTTATTTTCAGCTGAGTAGGCATTAATGAGATGAGCTCCACACATGCATGGAAAACAGCGGGGAGCTAGGATTGACTGGCAGATGTCAGCTAATTCCTGGTCTGGGTAAAGGTCACTGCTGGAAACGTCCCACCTTGGAGACTTGTTGAAAACACAAGAACTACAAAATGTAATTTCATTTAAAATGTAATACATTTAAAAATATTAGTAATTTTCAACCCCTCACAGCAGTACAAACCTTTTTTCTCCATAAAAAACAAAAAAGGGGGTATATGCACTAAAGATCTAAAAATAGCGTCGTAGTAAAAAAAAAATATTAACCCCTTAAGGACACATGACATGTGTGACATGTCATGATTCCCTTTTATTCCAGATGTTTGGTCCTTAAGGGGTTAAAGGATAGCTCCACTCCCTGCTATGGTAAGAACACAGGACGATAATGAATCATTTCACTGCCCTGATCAATGGCCTACAACAGGGCCAAATCTATTCAAAAAATGGTCAGATAATAGCAGAGTCTGACCTGTGGAATAGCAAGATGGCACTTGAAAGTGAAGTGGGCCAGTGTCGGAACTAGCTTTGGTGCAGGGCCCGCACAGTATTATTTCTGTATTCCCGGAGTATCTGCTAGCTGGGAGGGAGGATGAGCCAGCACAGGCAGGCCGCATGGGGTGAAATTGCTCCTAACCCCACACTACCATTCACATCAAGCAGCAGCAGTACCCCAAGCAACTCCCCTACTGGACACTCAAGGTGAGCTAACAAGAGGATGGTTGCAAATATAAAAAAAATGTATGCCATTTATGTGTTTATGTGTGGGTCAGATTGTCTTTGTATCTGTGTCAAGTTTGTGCTTCTGTGTGTAAATGTGTGCGTGCATTTGTGTGTCAAGATGTGCGCATGTGTCAGTGTGTATGTGTTCGCATCTGTGTGTCAGGGTGTGTGCATTTGTCCGTGTGTGTGTATTATTATTATTATGTTATTTATATAGCGCCATCAAATTCTGCAGCGCTTTACAATGGGTGGACGAACAGACATGAAGTTGTTTAATTGAGTCCTGCCCATAGTGTCTAGTAATGTTTCCTGTCGGTTATGTCTGGGGAAGACCTTTAACTTGGGAGGGTCTTCTGCTCTCAGGACTGCTGTTCTGTCTGGGTTGGGGATCCTGGTTACTCTCAAAATATTGTTCACAAATCTGTCTAAATCTGTGTTAGTGAGCATTTCTCCTTTGCCGAGATAATCCATCCACCTCACAGGTGTGGCATATCAAGATGCTGATTAGATCAAGACAGCATGATTATTGCACAGGTGGGCCTTAGGCTTACCACCATATAAGGCCACTCTAAAATGTGCAGTTTTACTTTATTGGACGGATCCTGGGGGGTCCAAAAAACAGTCAGTATCTGGTGTGACCATCATTTGCCTCAGGCAGTGCAACACTCCTTTTTCTTTACATTTTCTGAAACGCCTTTGGAGGCGGCTTATGGTAGAGAAATAAACATTCAATACACGGGCAACAGCTCAATAAAAGGGCACTCTAAAAATACAGGGGCAACAGCTCAATAAAAGGGCACTCTAAAATGTGCAGTTTTATCACACAGCACAATGCCACAGATGTCGCAAGTTTTGAGGGATCGTGCAGTTGGCATGCTGACATTCCTGCAGTCAGCATGCCAACTGCACGATCCCTCAAAACTTGCGACATCTGTGGCATTGTGCTGTGTGATAAAACTGCACATTTTAGAGTGCCCTTTTATTGTGGCCAGCCTAAGGCAGACCTTTGCAATAATCATGCCGTCTAATCAGCATCTTGATATGCCACACCTGTGAGGTGGATGGATTACCTCGGCAAAGGAGAAGTGCTCACTAACACAGATTTAGACAGATTTGTGAACAATATTTGAGAGAAATAGGCCTTTTGTGTACATAGACAAAGTCTTAGATCTTTGAGTTCAGCTCATGAAAAATGGGGGCAAAAAACAAAAGTGTACAATACAACATACAAACACACCCCTGCATTAAAGGACCACTCTAGGCACCCAGACCACTTCAGCTTAATGAAGTGGTCTGGGTGCCAGGTCCAGCAAGGATTAACCCATTTTTGTATAAACATAGCAGTTTCAGAGAAACAGCTATGTTTACAAATGGGTTAATCCTTCCTCCAAATCCTCTAGTGGCTGTCTCATTGACAGCCGCTAGAGGCGCTTGCGTGATTCTCACTGTGAAAATCACAGTGAGAGCACGCAAGCGTCCATAGGAAAGCATTGTAAATGCTTTCCTATGCGACTGGCTGAATGCGCGCGCAGCTCTTTCCGCGCGTGCGCATTCAGCCAAATGGGAGGAGAGGAGGAGGAGAGCTCCCCGCCCAGCGCTGGAAAAAGGTAAGTTTTTACCCCTTTCCTCTCCCCAGAGCCAGGCGGGTGGGGGTCCCTGAGGGTGGGGGCACCCTCAGGGCACTATAGTGCCAGGAAAACGAGTATGTTTTCCTGGCACTATAGTGGTCCTTTAAAATGCAAACACTACACACAAGTACACCACTGCATTCCAAACAGTACATACAAAGGCACCCCTACATGCACACATATACTCTATACAAAAATATGCACACATTAAAACACACAAACACTGCTCACAAATACAACCCTGCTAGGATGGACAAATGTTAGATCCCCACCTTATATAGCATCGTTGGAGTTGTACGACACATGTTGATCTACCTTTTGGGCCCTCTTGCAGTAGAGGGGATCCTAAAAAACTTCTTGCGCCAAGGTGCTCTCTGCATTAGTTCCGCTGCTGGAGTGGGCTATTGGCTAAGTTTTATATTATAAAAAAACACACAGATTCTCTTGCAATAAAAAAAAAAAAAATGAATGACAGTTATCCTTTAATAAGGAAATTGTTTTGTAAAATGAGGGATGTATTCAACAAGGTTACACTGTGGTAATCTGCAGAACTTTTTTTTTTTCTTCAAAGCTAAAGAGGTTTGAGTTTGGGGGGGAGGGAGTGCAACATGCATATGAAGCCACAGCTTATACAATGCACTTAAATGAACACTCCACACACATGAAGCACTTTAGATCTGAGAGAGGTGAGGCAACATGTGGTCGGTCCAAGTTCAGTGTTCGGATCAGGGAACAAAGCTTTGATAATCTAAAAGTCCAGATAAGGGTCATGAATCTTGAAATCAGAATCGGGATCATAAATGGTAGGAAGCTGGCACTTCAATAGAGAAAGGGTCTGAGGAACACTGGGTCAGAACAGTGATACCAGTATTGTAGTTATGGACTATCACCAAGGATTTATGGGTCAGGCCAAGAGAGCAGGTACCGTGCAAGGGACAACCCTGTTGGCTTGGGCAGCATTAGCGATGCTGGACATGCTGATTGCACATTACTGTTTGACATTTAAATGACACGAGCTCCATGATGCTGACACATAGTATCAAAGAAGACACCAAGTGCATAAGAATAGATCAGGCACTCTAAGTGTGAGTTAGGGTATCTTAATTATACTCACTAAGGGCAGTGATTAATTTCCAATTAGTATTTCTTAACCCTTGTCAACAAAGATGCAAACATCATCACACTAATCATCACACTAATGTCAGTACAGCCACCATATGCTGGGGATACCCGCACATCGAGCCACCATGTGGACTCCAAAGAACGTGTAAGGAAGAACTTTAGCAGCCAAGATAATGTTACATTTTATTTTAAAAGGATTTAAAATAAAGATCCCATGTAAGCTGCAGAAAATCTTCCAATGTAAAAC